GATGAAATATGTGTGGTCATTTTGCACTGGAATGTTGTATATGGGGCATTTTCATGCGTTGCTTAGTTGCAAGAGCATTAATATCAGAATTCTAATGCTAACCTCCACAGGCAACAATCTTGAAACCTGCTATTATGATTGGTACAGAGGATCGGATTTTAAACCCATGGGCTCATTTTGCGAAAAAGTATAGCTTTCTTCCATTGATTGGGGATGGGAGCACAAAGTATGTATAAATCTATTAAGCATTTATTATGAACTTGCAACTCCATTCGTTTTTTAGACAGAATGAATCATGTTAGTGTTTCTGTTGGCATTGGAATTCTTGTTTTTCTGATTTTTTGTCTGACAAACACAACTGTTGCAGGATCCAACCTGTATATGTTGTTGATGTTGCTGCTGCACTTACTGCAGTCTTGAAAGATGATGGCACTAGCATGGGAAAGACTTACGAACTGGGTGGTCCAGAGATCTTTACTGTGCATGAATTGGTAATGTTGACTTTATCCTTTGTTGCTGTTTATATTTCATATCTTGTCTAAACCAGAGATACTACTTGTTGGGGAGAAGTTGAAAGAAGAAATTGTTGTAATGATGTATAATCCATGTTAATTGCAGGCAGAGCTTATGTATGAGACGATTCGAGAATGGCCTCGATTGGTGAAGGTCCCTTTCTCCATTGCAAAGGTGTGTTAAAACACTTTTACTTTGTTGATGTCTGCTTACCATTGGAAAGTCTGATGATGAATTTGGCCTTGTGGGGTTATTTTTATCCTTTACATAATTATAAATAATATAAACTTATCGACTTATCTGTTAGCATTGGAAAGCCAGTGATGAACATATCTTTGGCCTTGTGGGTTCTATCACGTTGTCCATTTTTCGATTTAGCAGTGGATTAACGGGTTATGGGAGATGAATACTCGGTTTACACTTGAGAGTATATAGTGACTTTTTTATGTCGTAAAATGCCAACATTATGTGGGGTATGATTGATTTCAGGCATTGGCAACACCGAGGGAAATATTACTAAATAAGGTCCCCTTTCCGCTACCTACTCCTGAAATATTGAATCTGGATCAGATCAATGCTTTGACTACAGATACTGTTGTTTCAGAAAATGGTTAGTTCCTTAATTTTATCATAAGGTCTATCTTTCTTTGTCCCAAGACATTATTATAGATCTCTTTCTTTTACTATTCCGTTGCCCACATTTTTTGTTTGATGAATTTGCAGCTTTGACTTTCGATGATCTTGGAATTGTTCCGCATAAGCTGAAGGGATACCCTATTGAGTTTCTTATCTCATACAGGAAAGGAGGCCCACAATTTGGTTCTACGATCAGTGAAAGGGTCTCTCCAGAAGATTGGCCGTAAGATTCTTTGGATGTTTGGTCCTGAATCATTTTTCTGTCTTGCTTGTACTACCACCATTTCGTTTCAATATTTAAAAAGGATCCGAGATCTTTTTGTATCTTCCTTTCATAATGTAGAATACGCGATCATGTTTGATGATGATAATAATTTCAGATACTTGTTGATTCCCAAATGTAAGCGCCTTTGAATCAATTTCAAAGTCATATTTCTAATTGGTTGTTATCTTGAAACTTGTTTGGTCCTGAGTCAGGGGATTAAACTTGCAAACAATCTTCTTTCTTGATTCCCGTCTTCAATGGCTCAAGTTAAAACGTGTACATTTAAACAGAAACAAAATAAAGAAGCCATTGTTACAAGGAAGGTCTAAGACGCATGTCAGGTTTTTGTGAAATGTTTTTCTTCCAAAATTTCAGACGTCCCATAATTAGAATGTGAATGTGAATTTGGAAATCACAGAAATTTATTATCATTTTCAAAATATTTTAACATATATTTATGATTTAGATAACTCAGTGTTTCTTTCTTGTTATATTTTTACCAAATTTGTTATTTTGAATTTCTAACTTGAGTCACTCTAAATTCCTAATCAATTTATATTGTTTGTTTTTTTATAATTTCCATGATCATCTACAATGAAATCCTCCAATTTATAAAATTCTTTCTTAGGATTATTGGAGTTTTATTAATAAAAAAAGGATTATTTGATTTATAATCACTGAAAAAAAACATCAAACTTATTTAAATATGAAGCTTCTTTCAATAATATTCGACCCATAAATAATGAGGTTTATGAACCATCACTTATTTATTTATTTAATACGCTTATAATGTTTACATTAATGTTATTTTTATCCACTTCAATGAAGTTATCTTTTTTGTATGTTACATATTTATTTTAACTTTGCATGAGATCTATTTGCTTTTTTACAAGAGCAAATTTTAAAAGATATCTATAGACATAAAATCATATTAATATAAAGAAGATATTATTATCTAATTAATATATAATTTATCATTATATAAATAAAAATTAATTTAAAATTATTGAATAGAAAATAATTATATGTATATATGTACTTATGTACGTATATACAAGATATTTTTTAGCTTGTCTGTGTGGAGTGTGTGAAACTAGGGATGTCAGCCAGTATGGGTTATATCTGATGACCGGATAAATTAAATTCAAACCAAACCAAAAAAAATGTGAGTTTGTTCACATTATCAGTTTGATTTAGTTTAAATAAAAACATACCTAATATATTTTGTTTGGGTATCAGAATTTAAGGGACAAGTCCAATTAGCCAATTATTTGATTCAATTAACATATTATTTAATATTTAAATTTATATTTTAGTACTTACTTATACCCAACAATATTTAAGCAACTTAATAACACATAAGACTATATAAATAGTACACATAAATCTTTCATAATTTTTTAAAATAATTTTTGTATATATTTATGATATTTTTAATATAATTTTTGTTTTATAAATAAATAATAGATCCAATTGCCTAAACCAAACCAACTCAACTATAATTGAATTGTTTTAGTTAGGGTCGTTTGTTAAAATCACACCAGAATTAGACTAAATCAAACCAAAACCTTTTAATCGATTTAGAAATTTTTTTTTACCTAAACTCGAACCAATTTAGTTATGTGAAAACAACTTTCAAAAAATTGTTTTATTTATTTTTAAATTCAACCTGATTTTTAGTTTTGAAAAGTGTATACGTTTAGTTTCTGTAATCAAACATGCTATTTATAACTTTGATTGAATATTCTGGATAGAATGATTGAAATGATGACAAGACAAGTTCATCTTAAAGAATGTTTTTGTGGAACAAAACGATTAATATTTTGCTTATTTAAAAAAAAAAGTTAAAAGATTATTACATTTTAAAAGAAGAATAGTTTATCTCTTTAATTTTACTTTTTAAAAATTTGTAGTGAATAAGAGTTCAAATAACAAGTATTTTAATATATGATAGTTAATGAATTAAAATAAAAGATTTTATTAAAAATATAATAAAAATGTATTAAAATCATGGGAAGAATATTGGCAGTAATTTTCTTTAATATTTTTAATCATTATTCTAAGCATACATATTAACCTTTTTAAAATAAATAATGAAGAATTTATAATATTTTCTTATTAATTTTTTTTTTCATTCTATTCAAACAACAGTTTTTGGTGTGGCCGGGCTTTGACAAATGGACGATGACGCGTATATTTGCGAATTGTTCCACGATTCTCATATCAACTTTTTTTTAATACTTTTTAAAATATATTTTTTTATTATTAAATTAAAAATGTTAAAAAATGTAAAGATTATCTGAATCGAACTCTTAATTTAATGAATTTTAATCACACTTTTATATTTTTTAATAAATTTTAATTAATAACTAAAATGTGTTAAAACTTGTATTCTTAATATTCTTTCATTTTCTTTGACCTAATTTTCGCGGAGTTTGAGGTTTGACTGTCTATCAATCTAATTTATTTTGATTTTTTATTATAAATTATTTTTTATAAATATTCTAATTAAATTCTTTCAATAACGTAATAGAAGAAATTGAATGGCAGCATAATTTTTTTTATGGTTTCAAATTAATTAATGATGCGACTCATACTCATGAAAATTAATTAACAAAAAGGGGAAAGGAAGCAACCTTAAGCAAAAGTATGATTTCTAAATTCTATAAAGATGCAATTTGCTTAACACCTTAATGATGATTTATTAAGAAAAAGCGAATTTTTTTTCCTTTTCTTCTTAAAGGAAACCCAAAAGGCTTCACCTTTTGATTTTAAATACAGCTAGTCACTCACAAGATGCAATTATAGCTTCTGAGAATATGCACTCTTTTAAAATGCGTGCCAAATGACTAAAAGGATGGATTTTAAGAACAAATGTTAAGTAATTAAAAATTTAAAATTATTATTATTATTTTTATTATAATTTTAAATAGTTTTTTAGTGTATTTTTATACTTTTTATTTGTTTTTAATTAATATTTTTAAGATATTAATTAATAAAATTTAATTTTAAATAAAGTATTAATTAAATATCAATCCTTTTAACCTTTCATACATTGTATAGAACAAAAGGTTATTTATCATATTTTAAAAAAAATATAGAATTGAATGCTACAATTTTTTAATGATTTTTTTTATCTATCTATTTTAGTTGTAACATTATGATTTGTTAATTTGATATGTGCTTTGTCATCAATCACCTTTACTTTAATGTATATAATTTAGACTCCAATGAGAGATCAAATTGAGTAACGATTCTCAAATTTAAAAGTGAAATGGTCAAACATCGATTGGTGATTTATTCTGTTATAAATATAGAAACTTATTTGATGATTTATTCAATAAGGTATGAATAAAATTTTTTCATATTACTACATTATAAATATATATATATAATTTTTTTCAACTAATATTCTAGAAGTGTTGATAAAAATATTTTTAATTATTTGATTAGGTACCAATTGATTTGATTTATTTAAATATAGAACACATAAATGTGAGAGTGGGTCCAATTGAGGATGAGTTATTGCAAATTGATAGCATGCAAAAGCTATAAACATGATGATGGGATTGGGATTTGCGAGGGAACAATTTCACACCTACGCGTCTCAATCCCACGCGACACCGACACATAAGACAACACGAGCACGTTGCTAACTTGCGCCTCCGTCTTCCTCGTTCTTTTATCCCTGCAAATTTCACTTCTTCAATTCAAATGCTAAACTCTTCTCTCTCACTCCTTGTTGTTGTTGTGTTAAGTGCCTACACTTATTGTTGATTTCATTCCAACAACCTCTATTTGATCATTATATTATTAAGCATAGTTGCAGGGTGTTACTTGTTATGTTCCCCTTGTTTTAAGCTCTTAGATTGCCACTAATCACAATCTTTTCTGTTAGGTTTAGGTTTTGGTGATTTCGGTTTTTGCCCCTTCGCTGTTTGACCTATGAATTGTGAAATTTGGTGATTGAGTTTGCAATGCAATGAGAAGACGCCCTGATCAAACGGAGAAAGGGTCACCCAAGTACCACAATTCTAGGCTTTGTTGTTTGGCATCCCTTTCTGCCTTTTTTTGGTTCTTGCTTTTGTATTTCCATTTTGTGGTACTTAGAGGAGATAATACTAATAGTAATAGTAATAATAATTTTAATGATGATAATCATGTTGATCAATCAATCAAATTAGCACCTGTTTCTGTTGATTATGAGCCTACTTTAATCCATGTAACTGATGCCCATCAAGTGCAAGCCCCTCCTAGAAAGATTGGCTTCAATGTGCCTCAGGTGCGAAAGAGTGACACCCGTCATGAGAAGAGTTACCCTTTCACGAGGGCATTGAGAACTGCTGAAAACAAGAGTGATCCATGTGGGGGGAGGTATATTTATGTGCATGATCTTCCCTCTAGGTTTAATGAGGATATGTTGAAGGAGTGTAGGAGTTTGAGTCTTTGGACTAATATGTGCAAGTTCACCACCAATGATGGCCTTGGTCCGCCCCTTGAGAATGTGGAAGGGGTGTTTTCTGATACTGGTTGGTATGCTACGAATCAGTTTGCTGTTGATGTAATTTTCAGCAATCGGATGAAACAGTATGAATGCTTGACAAAGGATTCCTCTATTGCTGCTGCAGTTTTTGTGCCCTTTTATGCTGGGTTTGACATTGCACGTTATCTTTGGGGTTATAATATTTCTGTGAGGGATGCAGCTTCGCTTGATCTGGTTGACTGGCTTATGAAGAGACCAGAGTGGAGCATAATGAATGGAAGAGACCATTTTCTTGTTGCGGGAAGGATAACTTGGGATTTCAGGAGACTATCTGATGAAGAATCGGATTGGGGCAATAAGCTTCTGTTCTTACCAGCAGCAAAGAATATGTCTATGTTAGTGGTTGAGTCCAGCCCCTGGAATGCCAATGATTTTGGGATTCCATATCCTGCATACTTCCACCCGGCAAAAGATGCTGACGTGTTCATTTGGCAGGACAGAATGAGGCAATTGGAGAGGAAGTGGCTTTTCTCCTTTGCTGGAGCTCCACGTCCCGGCAACCCGAAATCAATCAGGGGTCAGTTAATTGATCAGTGCAAAAGGTCACAGGTCTGTAAGCTGTTGGAATGTGACTTTGGTGAAAGTAAATGCCATTCTCCCAGCAGCATAATGCAGATGTTTCAAAGCTCACTTTTCTGCTTGCAACCTCAGGGTGATTCATACACACGTAGATCCGCTTTTGATTCAATGTTGGCCGGTTGTATACCTGTGTTCTTCCATCCAGGTTCAGCATATACACAATATACTTGGCATCTTCCCAAGAATTACACCAAGTATTCTGTCTTCATTCCAGAGGATGATATTCGTAAGAGGAATGTCAGTATAGAGGAAAGACTCAGTCAGATACCTCCTGAGCAAGTAAAAATCATGAGAGAAGAGGTCATTAGTCTCATTCCAAGACTAGTATATGCTGATCCTCGCTCTAAATTGGAAACTCTTAAAGATGCATTTGATGTTGCTGTACAAGCAATAATTGACAAGGTTACAAATTTGAGGAAGGATATTATTGAAGATCGAACAGATGACAACTTCATTGAGGAGAACAGTTGGAAATATGCTTTGTTGCCTGAGGGAAATCATGAGGTAGGACCTCATGAATGGGATCCTTTCTTCTCCAAACCAAAGGATGGTAGTGGAGATTCCAGTAATTCCTCTGCTGAAGCTGCAAAAAATTCTTGGAGGAATGAGCAAAGAAATCAATCATGAAGGAAAGGAGGAAAAAATCTGCAGGGTGCTGTGCAGTTCAATGCAAACATAGAAATGCTTTAGCTGAATTGGGGAATAATTGCAAATTATTGCTGGGTCTTGCTGTGAACTTACTGCTGAACTTGTGTCTAAGTATATTGAGCGAGGTTCCTCGGTGAAAAACCCTGCATGGGAGACATTCTTTGCTTAACACATTTTTGTTATATAGGTTTTTATTTTGTTTTTCTGATTTCTGCTTCATGTATTCTCCTTACAGGCTTAGTGGTTCCTAGAATGGCTGTTCTGGGGGGTTTAATAATTCATTTCATGTATTAGTTTTGTTCATTTAATTCATATGGGAAATATATACAAATTTATTATGGTTAATGGTAATTCTGAGCAAGTTTAACCATTGAAGTCACAAATTGATTAGTTGAGGTGTCATTTTGCTCTTCACCTGCGTGAATGAATTGTCTCTTTTATGTTCGTCGTCAAGAAATTGTTTGACACGGATAAATCTAATTGATTAAAATATGAAATTCTATGGTGTGTCCAATTCATATCACTAATTGTTAAAATGACCATTAAACAGTTGGTGTTAGAAAAGTAGTTACTGCAAAATTATCTTCGAAGTTATGTAATGGTTCTTTTATGTCGGTGATATGAATGAAATGAAGATGTATAGATTCTCTCTGATTAAATATCTCTCAGTTTGGTAAATGATGTTTTGTTCCTTAATAGAAATGCTTAGATAGCAATGCTTGTCAATTATCATTAGTAAACCTTTCCTTTGTGTCTGCGTGTAATTGCCTCCTGTTTGTAATCTTCCCATCTACCAGTATGATTATTTATTGTGCAATTTTCTCGGCGAAGTACCATTCCAGTAGTGTGATGCAACACATATAACTATAATTAATCCAAAAAATACAGCTGTTACAATTAAAACCATTGGCTCCTTAATCCTGATTCCAAGAAAATTCATATTGGACAAGACCCTGACCAACAAGTTGTTGCACAAGGTTTTGATTTGCCCACTGTCTTATGTTATATCGAGAAAATGATCAATGAAAAGGAAATCCAGTACATATGCATACTTTCCTTCACCGACATCATTTTCTAAATCGAGTGACATAGAATGCTGGTGAACAGCTAGATAAACGAAAGAAGGGTAACAAGTTGAAATGGCTAACCTCTTTTTAGAAAGGCAAACACTTTTTACTGTTTTGATAATGATTGATAATATTTTTGCAAATTTATGCTTGCATATTTCTGATGTCATGTAAACCTTTAGATTTTCAATCAGTAACTTCAATTGAAGTGCTCACACTGTCGACATATGAGGCTCATTTCTGAACTAGACCAAGGCTCATGTAACAATAACACTAAGAGTGAGTCTTTTTTTTTTTTTTTTTGTAAGAAATCAATTGAACTTATGCAACATATTTTCATACCTACATCTATTTTTCACCTCTTGTTTCTTTCTATCTCTATTTAAATGTGTGTTTGGTCTAGTGTTTTCTAACCATGGACGTGCATGCATTAATGCAAATAATATGTATACCATGAACTCAATGCACATCTAAGCATACAATATCCATCATTTATCACATTTCTCACTTCCTCGCTCTTCTTATTTTCCTTTATTTCTATCTCTCTTTTCCTTTTACCCGTTTAAATGATTATTTTTGTAATAATTAATTAGAAAGGTCACACACCAAACATAATTATAAAAAATACTGAGTATCATGCTGGGTATACCATATTTCCCAACAGAGTTTCATACTTATTCAAAACACAGTAGAAGGAAGTCATTGAATAATGAGCTTTCCAACTTGTCTACTTAGAAAACAGTTACTTGGTAGCTAAACAGGTTCAGGACAAGGAAAATTTAATAGAATCTTGGGTGTCAGAAAGGAAATGAGTATGTGAATTGAAGTTACAGGCACGCCAATCTAACGTTTCACTCAAGTTTCATCTTACTATATTCAGCAAAACAAACTTCCTTGCAAAGGACAAAAGAATAGAAGGGCATAGTTAGCACATTAACTCATTTTTTAATGAATTGCAAACCATTTGCATTGGAGTATCGCTCCATGAATCTCATGAATCTATCCCACTCCCTTGGACTCCGCATTACATACTTGGCTTCAATCCGTGAGGGCTTTCCATTGACAAATTTGGCACTCACATCAACTGACTGAAGGACCCCTTCCTCATCAATCATGTAAAAACCAGTGATATCACCTATTTCACCAGATGAATCAAAGACCGAGGGTTGATCAAATGTGAAAATAGCCATTCCATTTGTTCCATCCCTTGATTTAGTCAATCTCACATCTGGTACTGTTTGTTCATCAGTTCCTTGGATGAACTGTATTGTTGGTTTTACCATCATCACAATAGGCATGTGCATGGGAGTTTTGTGTTTTAGCACAGGTAACCTCAAACATTGTTGGTGTAAATTTTGACCGTTAAATGAAGAATTTGCACTTCGATGGATAATAGATGATGGGACTGCATAAACAAGAAGTCCATTATATTCACCACAAAAATCAGATCATAATTCATAAGCATTATTTAATGTTTTTCTAGTGCTATATATCTTCAAAGAAATCAAATCTATCTTCAAAGTTCGAAGAACCTGTATACTTTGGGATCAAGGTTAGGGGTCAACGAAGGTGACACAAGAAATTGCTCTACACATAGATAGAATGATGCAGTGTAGCACTGTAGCTTAAAATTAAAGCACAAGTTTTGTCATTAATTGTAAATTTTCGGTTGTCCTATTAAATGGGATGCCATCACTTAAAACATCAAAAGAACTGTCAGAAAGTTGGGCAAAGCAATATATCAACACTATGCATGTCTTCAAGAACATCACACTTTTTGTTCCATCAATGTGTTTTAAGTTGAAAAGTATATAAAATCATCTTTCCAGATACTTCTCTCAGCAAGATGTTTAGTTGTCCCTCCTCAAGATGGGAAAAATCTCGACCACCATGGAAGTCTGGAAACTTTTAAAATTCTAAACTTTTGTTGTGATAGGTATGGTGTTGTAAGGAAAATTGAAGCATCATACCAAGAATTTCATGTAGTCAAGAACACAAGAGAGCAAAAACAAATGAAAAAGAAGAAAACAATGCCACCATACTTTTGCTTTTCTCATCCCCCCGGAATGCCAAATGTATCATATTACAGGCAAACCAAGCTACCAAGTTGAATATTTTTCATAAGGCCTAAACCCCACAAATTAATCCACTGAACATTATGGAATTTCATGTGTAGAACTTCAGAAGAACAAACTGCTACTAATAATCATGCAAGATGAATCCGCAAGCATGCTAAGAGAGGAAAAATATATTCTTTTTTTTTTTAATTTGACAAATATAACAAAATTTTCCAACTTATTTCATCACCTTTACTAGTAAATATACCATTTTGAAGAGGGTGAGGGTACCTGAGTATGAGTGTGGCTTATGAAGTGAATTGGAGAGCGGAGAGGACAATGCAAGAGAGTGCAGAGTTGCCATTGCTAGAGGGAGAGAGATTCAGCTCAGTTCACTTCTCTCTCTAATAGTCATAGAGGAGAGTAAAATTGTGGTCCAAAATGTTTGGTGTGTAACAAAGACAGCCATTCACTTGTGATGATAATTCTTTGCTTTTTGTAAAGACTTGTGTGTGATATAGTGATCAGACAATAGATTGAAGATGCTGATATGGCAGCCCATGAATGATACACGTTGCATTAATTATGATATTTATTATTATTGTTTCGGGTAAATTGAATCCATGCCCACCCAGATATGTTTTGCATGATTAGTATTTTAACAATAATAACCCAGGCGTATATACAGATTTATCAAAAGACTAAAAACCATAATGTTACACTTTCAACCTAATTAGGCCTGTCTAATCGAAATCATCCCAAAATTGACATTAAAGATTTAAGATGAAAGGGCATATAGAAAAAGAACAATAAAGACTATTTGTTATACTATTTTTTCACTCTTTTTTTTGTCAAGTATGTTTTAAAACACACATGGTAGAACAAATTGAGGCCCAATACATATTGGGTCTGAACCATATGAGATAATGTCATCTTAAATCTATATCGGCTTGGAAGTCCAAAGGGTATAAAATTCAAGGATGGAATGTGTTACCTGACTTGTACTCTGTTTTATGGAAGGGAATCAAAACAAGCCCAAAACACATATGAGGGTGTATACATCTTTTTTGGGTCAGAATCAAGGTGTACATCATGGAAAGCCCCAAAATAACTTGTGGCCTTTCTATGTAAAGGTTGACCCTAAAAAATATAAAAGTAAAAAAATTGGACCAACGAAAAAGGAAATAAGAATAATTTTGGAAAATGATAATTTGTTCCAGCAACTCGAGTGTGTACATGTGCAATTAGGAGCACCATGATCCCGTTTTAGCATCGCTTTGCTGTGTGTAATATGGGCTTTATTTTTCTTTTCATTTTTAAAATGATGAAAGGCTGGTTGCGGTTTTCCTTGGCATAAAGGCACGTGAACACACGTAAGCAATGTTTTCAACATCCTCTTCATTCTAGCATTCCTTGGATTCCAATGATGATTAAAGGGTATAAGAAAGAAGAACCATCAAATAATTCAATATAAGACTAATTCATTATTTGAAATCCTCACTGTCTCTCTCCAATAATAAGGAAAAATGTACTTCACTAGGAAGCTGCTATTTCACATGGCTTCCATCTGTTCTAGTACATGAATGAATAGGTGCCATATGTGTTCCAATTTCCAAACAATAGAAGGGGCAGTAATATTATCACTTTATTAAAACCAACACCCCACATGCATGCATGTGAATATTGAAAGAGATAAAAGTGCTAAAACAAAAAAGAGAGAATTTTCATCTGAAGGAGGTGGCAGTAGGTGGGCTCAGACCATGATTGATTTAGTGCAGCACTTTGCTCCCATTTCCTTCTGTTTGTAAATTTCACTAATAATTTATTCACCATTCTTAAGGCATGACATTTCTTTCATCTATTAATGTTTTGCGTGCTTCTTATTTGTCTTCAAAAGAAAAGTAAAAGATAGAGAAATGTCCTCCAGAAATTAACATGAATAAATAATTCTCAGATCCATTTGAGGATTTTTGGTTCTAGACCATCACACTGTAGAGCTGAAGTTTTTTATTTTTACATTGCTTGGGATCATTTGTTGGCTGGTCCCTTTGCATTTGCTTTAAGTGTGTCACAAATGATAAATTGAGTGTATGTAACTCTAATCCATATAGTAACTGATGCTCTAATTTTAAAAATAACTCTCAAATCATTTTTGTAGCCCTTTAATTTTTTCTTATGGAGGATAAATTTTGTCTTATTTTCATGTATCTTTCTCCTTGTAACATGCAAAGATTCCCTTCTCCAAATCATAACGAATAATTAACATTTATGAGGCAAAAACCATGAAGTGGGCGATGGATAATGGTTCTGATATTTCCGTTTTAATTATATATATCCTATTTCTCTCCTGTGTTTCTTCCTCCTTTTATCTTAATGTATTATAAAAAAAGGGGGAGGTACGCATCCATAGTTCCTTCACTTACTCTTTTTGGTTAAAAGATTCCCACTATCACATGGCTTTGATTTGGATTGTGATGTTATGATAATCTCACATGTACACCAATGTACTTGGGGATCCTAAATTTAACCGTATGTTAGTTGGGGCATTTTTATGCATCATTTCTGAATCTTTGTCATAGTTATATAAGTTACGCCTTAAATCCTCTGGAAATTCAACTTTTGCAATCATGTGGAACACACTTAAAGTAGATTAATGAATTATTTTAATTAAATGTACTGGCATGGCAAGGGTACTTCTAGTTTAGATACTGTTTATTAACAACCCCGAAAACAAAGGTTTTGAAAGCTATTGTCGTAAAAGCTCAAATGAGGTTAGAAAGTTACCTTAACAATACATGGTAGCAGGTCAATTTTTTATAATTTTTTTATTGATTATATTTTTCTCATTTCCAAATGAAGTGAATTATTTATGTTATTATATATATGCATTTATTATCTAGCTAGAAAAGCAAGACAAAAACATAATAGGAGTGAAACTAAATGAATACTTCACCCCGATCTATCCACTCAATGCAGAAGATTTAAATTCTTTCATTGTTTTATTCTCAATCTTTTAGAAAGAATATAATTTCCTTAAAAGAGATTCATAATAAACAAATAGGATAGAAACAATACATGTTTTTCATATATAAAAGAATACAACAACTGCATCGCTATTCCTCCAAGTTGACAAAGACAATGATAAGTTGATACCACATAAAGGAAGAAGTAGTGAAGGGCCACATTCTCTCCCATAGTCCCATGTTTTATGTCGAAGAAACTTCCAATAAATCCAAACCTTCACTGTCCAACATTACAATGTGATTTGGAACTCCATACCAATACATAAACCTGAAAAGTCCTTAAAAGTGACCAAAACTAATCAATGATTTATTATTAGCCAAGCCTTCTTAGATATCCAATCATTTTACATTAGTAATGCTCCTTTCTCCTTTCAATCACAACCTCAAAAACTAGAGATGTCACTCTCTGTCAGTGTTCTGTCCATCCCCCACATTATCATCCTTCTCTTCCAGTAGAGAGTGCAAATGATGGAGAACTGAGAGATTGATCAAGCAGAAGAAGAACAAGATGCAGCTGAAACCTCAGTTTTTCTTCTACTTCTGCTACATTTGCTGTTTCTCTTATGGTTTTGTTGCTGCTGCAGATGATGAAGCATCTGCATTACTCTCTATAAAAGAAGGTCTTATTGATCCATTGAATAGTCTACATAATTGGAAATTGTTGGACAAAGCAGAATGGAAGGATACAGTTCAGTGTAACTGGACTGGTGTGCAATGCAACTCAGTTGGAAGTGTTGAGAAGCTTGATCTCTCTCACATGAATCTGAGTGGAATTGTGTCCAATGAGATACAAAGGCTTAAAAGTCTCACTTCTCTCAACTTGTGTTGTAATGGTTTTTCCTCATCATTGTCAAAGTCCATAGCCAATATGACCACATTGGAGAATCTTGATGTAAGCCAGAATTTCTTCATTGGTGACTTTCCATTAGGCTTTGGAAAGGCATCGAGGCTTATGACCCTGAATGCATCCAGCAACAATTTCTCTGGCTTTCTTCCTGAGGATCTTGGAAATGCCTCTTCCTTAGAGACATTGGATCTTAGAGGCAGTTTCTTTGAAGGGTCAGTTCCAAAATCCTTTAGTAACTTGCACAAGTTGAAGTTCCTTGGTTTATCAGGAAATAATCTCACTGGGGAAATCCCGGGAGAGATAGGAAAACTTTCATCACTGGAGTGCATGATCATTGGGTACAACGAATTTGAAGGTGGGATTCCAGTAGAGTTTGGAAATCTCACCAAGCTAAAGTATCTTGATTTAGCAGAAGGCAATCTTGGTGGTGAAATTCCAGCTGAGTTGGGAAAGCTCAAATTGTTGAGCACAGTTTTCTTATACAAGAACAATTTTGAAGGCAAGATTCCACCGGCAATTGGCAACATGACTTCATTGGTGCAACTTGATCTCTCAGACAACATGTTATCAGGAAATATTCCAGCTGAAATAAGTCAGCTGAAGAATTTACAGCTCCTGAACTTCATGCGTAACCAGTTATCAGGTCCTGTGCCTTTTGGACTTGGAGATTTGCCTCAACTAGAGGTGCTTGAGCTATGGAACAATTCTTTGTCAGGGCCATTGCCTAGTAACCTTGGCAAGAATTCACCATTGCAGTGGTTGGATGTATCATCCAATTCACTCTCTGGTGAGATTCCAGAAACTCTTTGCACCAAGGGCTATCTCACCAAGCTTATACTTTTCAACAATGCTTTCTTGGGTCCAATTCCAGCAAGCCTATCAACATGTCTTTCACTTGTTCGCGTTCGAATTCATAACAATTTTCTTTCTGGGACAATTCCTGTGGGTCTTGGTAAACTTGGGAAGCTTCAGAGGTTAGAATTAGCTAACAATAGTCTCACAGGTGGAATTCCTGATGACATTGGTACTTCTACATCCCTTTCTTTCATTGATTTTTCCAGAAACAACCTTCACTCGTCTCTTCCTTCCACCATTATTTCCATTCCAAATCTGCAAACTTTCATTGTATCCAACAACAAGTTGGGAGGTGAAATCCCTGATCAATTTCAGGATTGTCCCTCACTTGGTGTCCTTGATCTCTCATCAAACTGTTTCTCTGGAAGCATTCCAGCAAGCATTGCTTCATGTCAGAAATTGGTAAACTTGAACCTACAAAACAACCAATTGACTGGTGAAATCTCAAAAGCATTAGCAAGCATGCCTACATTGGCCATTCTTGATCTTTCTAACAACTCTCTGACTGGTCAAATACCTGAAAGCTTTGGTATGTCTCCAGCTCTGGAAACATTCAATGTCTCACACAACAAGCTAGAAGGTCCTGTTCCAGAAAATGGCATGCTACGAACAATAAACCCAAATGATCTTGAGGCCAATGCTGACTTATGTGGTGGTGTCCTCCCCCCATGTGGCCAAACCTCAGCATATTTATTTAGCCAAAGGAGCTCACATGCAAAGCACATTATTGTAGGATGGATCATTGGAATATCATCAATATTGGTCATTGGATTTGCAACTTTTGTAGCAAGATCTTTATACCTAAGGTGGTACACTGATGGATTGTGCTTTCGAGAAAGATTTTATAAGGGTAGCAAAGGGTGGCCTTGGAGATTGATGGCATTTCAGAGGCTTGATTTTACAAGTAGTGACATTTTATCTTGCATCAAGGAAACAAACGTGATTGGCATGGGAGCTACTGGGGTTGTTTACAAGGCCGAGATACCACAATCAAGTACAGTTGTGGCAGTAAAAAAATTGTGGAGATCAGGATCTGATATTGAAGTAGGAAGCAGTGATGACCTTGTTGGAGAGGTGAATCTTTTAGGGAGGCTAAGGCATAGGAACATTGTCAGACTACTAGGCTTTCTTTATAATGACACTGATGTGATGATAGTTTATGAATTTATGCACAATGGAAACCTTGGAGATGCACTGCATGGTAAACAAGCAGGAAGATTACTTGTAGATTGGGTTTCCCGGTATAACATAGCTCTGGGAATTGCTCAAGGACTTGCTTATCTTCATCATGACTGTCATCCACCCATTATCCATCGAGACATTAAGTCAAATAATATACTTCTTGATGCAAATCTTGACGCAAGGATAGCAGATTTTGGGTTAGCCAAGATGATGATCAGGAAGAACGAAACAGTGTCCATGATTGCTGGATCCTATGGATATATTGCCCCTGGTGAGTTACTAGTCCATGCATAGTTATAAGGTTCATAACTCTTATGTTATTCAATTTTCAGAATACTTTGAGTGAAAGCTCAAAATACATAATTTCAATCAGCAGATTAGGATAGAAAAGATGACTGCCTATGTTCATATTTGTGAAGAGATGTTTCTTCTTTCTTAGATGTACAAGATTTATAGTTCTAACCATTTCAGTGTTTTATTACTTGGCAGAATATGGATACTCCTTGAAAGTGGATGAAAAGATTGACATTTACAGTTATGGAGTAGTTCTGTTGGAGCTTCTCACAGGAAAGAGGCCTTTAGAACCAGAATTTGGAGAATCTATAGACATTGTAGGGTGGATTAGAAGGAAGATAGACAACAAATCTCCAGAAGCAGCATTAGATCCTAGTGTAGGAAACTGTAAGCATGTTCAAGAAGAGATGCTTTTAGTTCTCAGAATAGCACTTCTTTGCACTGCCAAGCTCCCCAAGGACAGACCCTCCATGAGGGACGTTATAATGATGCTTGGAGAGGCAAAGCCTAGGAGAAAGAGTGGTAGGAGCAATGAAACATTTGCAGCTAACAAGGAGATGCCGGTTATGAACACATCACCAGTTAATGGCCTTTTGTAGGAACCAAAAATGAAGTTCTCTTTCCCAATCGCAATCAGATTTTTCTCTGTACTATTTTGTTAATTTTCTTGTAATTTTGTAATCAATCCAGTGGTTCACATTTGTTCTTAAAATATGTAAATCAAAACGGATTAAATTTTGCACGTAACTTTACTACGAGTTATTATTTTGGTGATGAAGCATATATTTCAGTCAGAAACCAAAAGAAAGCAATTGTACCTACTATCATTTGAATAACAGATATTTTTTTTTAATTTCTCTTTTTGGTATGTGTATGCCTAATGTATGTACATAAAGTACTTTTACATTCCCGAAAGTCATTAGATTTCTTATTTACTATTCGTTGGTGCTTGTCTAAATCAAACGCCGTCTGTATCAAAATGAGTGCCACAAGTACCCGTAAGTGATTTTGGTCAAATTTCCCGTAAGCATTCTCCTTAAACCCACGAGATTGCTTTTGCTTTAAGATTTTGTCCACAGGATTGACGAAAAAACAGACCTTGCACACATTTTAGCTTTGTCTAAAAGCAAAGCCATGAATCTCTTAGGTGTGGGCTTGCACTATGGCATTATTCCTCTCACAATTTTCAACGAGTGATATTATAAAATTGTACAAATAATCAAATATGACCAAACTAGTCCTTTCAGAAAATAGGTGTTCTTTCAAAGGAAAGAAAGTTCAATCAAAATTTTATGGCTGAGAAAGTTAGCAAACATCCCACATTTACAACAGTAAGAAACAGTCTGACATGTATGATTAGTAGTAATGCATGAAAATCTATGATGCCTACACCCTCTAAGTGATGATGAATAGAGGGCACTGACAAATATACCATATTAAACAAACAAACTGAATTAATCAACAAAAGTGCGAGATTTGATCAATCAAATCTCAGAATTCCATTTACTTGCACTATTCCTTTACTTTTAGCTTTCTGTTTTTCCTCCTCTTCTATTTGTGTTACAATTCTTTGTGTCCTTAACCGTGGAAACAGTATCTATATGGGCTGGCCTTTCTGTCTAATGTTCTTTTCTTCCAATCCTGGTGCTGCAAACAAGACAGTAATTAGCAAAGGAAATATGAAGGGTAAGTTATGTTTTTGGAAAAAGAATGCATTTGCTTACCAAGTCCATTAGCCTCAGATGTCCTCATTATTCTTAGCCTCCTCACCGAGCTAAGGAACATCCTGATCGCATTTTGAAAGAGTAAGATAGATAAATATCAAAGCAGATAAAACATGAGATACCCTAATTTTCAGTATTAAATCATAAAAAGACAGGCAAATAAGTAATACTTTTCCTTGTTCAAGCAAAAAGACATGGGCACTATCTAATAGAGTATGGCTCTGAATGGCAGATTAAGTTTTGGAATATTAGTATAGCCGTATAGGCCGTGCAAACAGCAGTGAATTGTAATATATTAAATATTAATGCCTGTATCTTGAAACTACTTTCTGGCACCAGTGATTTCATATAGGATCCTGGGCAGAACTTCCTACAGGAATAGACAGAATGGATGCGCCTCCACAATAAGAAAGTATGAAAACATAGAGATTCTCACAAATAAAATCATTATCAACTATAGAACTTAGACAGAGCATCCCTAAAAAGAAACTGCATACAAATCGAAGGATGGCTAACTACTAGCCAGCAGATACTTCCTAGTATTGTTGTGATTCTTGTGAAGACAGGGACAGGTAGCCAATTATGAGACCAGTAATTTGAAAACAGGATGCTAAACCAGTTTGGGCTTTAGGAAGAAAGCTTTAACCACTATATAACATGTTTTTGGGTTTTATATATATCATCAATTTGGCCATAGTTGAACAAGGAAAGTATGAACCAAAGCTTCTACTAGTTTAATGATTGGTTCGATTATAAAAACATCGCTTCCCAGCACGTAGATACAATCCTATAATCTCCTGACCAGAGCATTACATCTATTATTTGACACTTAACTGACAAAACAACATTATTTTTGTACAGAAGTATTCGTAATAACATCATTGATTTGATAGTTGCTAAAATCAAATTGATGTTTGCGGACCAATTACTTACACCCAAGGAACATCTCCAACAAGCATCCAATCTCCTTCCTTATCTTCATAAGTGAGCACAAACTTGGTAGATCCATCCAACAATTTTGAATGCCTTTCTCCTCCAATAATAATGCCATGATCCTCCCCATGCGATCCTATTGATGATGATGTCAATACCATTGGCAAAAAAAGGTAATAGAATACAATGAAAACACAATTAAATGGTATCATATATCCCAAAACCCAAATAGAAAAAATGATATGCATGAGAATTAAATGGCATCAAGATGTAGTATGTTTGTTTACATTTTGCTCAATGCCACTGGGCAGTTGGAAAAAAGTAAAAAATAGTTGCTTCATATAAAAGCTCCTGAAAATGAGATATGCCAGAACAAAAGGAGTACAAACTACAAAGAACAAATCTTTTCTTAACATGATGTGGGGATGATGAGAGTAAGAGTTTAAACCTATCATCGCCCCCTGCATAAATGAATCCATACAGGTGTTATGTAACACAATATAGTCTTCAATATGAATACGGGTATGCAGTATGTTACTTGATAAATTGATGCATGCATGTGCGCGTACACCCACATGTATGTATAATTACATTTTTATTAATTATAAATGTACAATATTTTTATTTTTTCATTCACTTAAAAAAATGAAATGAAGTTTGACTGCTGCTTTTTTTTTTTTTCAATGCAAACATAATTTCCCAACATTTACTCATTTATAAATGATTATCATTTATCATTTATTGTTATTATTTAAAAAAAAACTCCAACTTACAATATTTCCTCTTCCTCCATCTGGTAACCCTCTTTTTAAGAATTAGAATAACTGCTCTCTTAAATTTTTTTCAGCCCATCCCATGGTTCATATCTTTAACCAATGCAAACCCTAATCTCCCCTTCAAGCAAATTTGGTTCTTCTTTTCTACCATATGGTCCTTCATTGAATCATTGCTATCATCAAATCCATTTCTAGTGGGAATCATTCTCCAAACCAACAAATTCACCCTGATTCTCTGCAGATCACCATCAATCACACCAGTCTATGTTCTCCATTACAACTTTGACTCATCCATGACACTCACTGTTCCTATCTCCTGAAATTCTCTGGTTTGTTCAGGGTATTGAATGACGGCAACCCAATTCACACATGAACCAGTACATGCAGACCAGTTTGTGGTTCTCAAAGTAACCAAGCAAATTTGGTAACATTGATCCCCATATCAATATCATTTTGTAAATTTTCACCAATCTTCATAATATACCATTGAGTTTGAGACAATTTATGCCTAGTATTTACAAAGTTAACAAGAGAGGAAGTACTAAGTTACTATTAAGCCATATTTAAAGTAGACACAAAAGAAATTACGCAAAGTCAATAAAATATTAACCGTGCAGATAAAACCAGTGATTTTGAAAACATGCCAGAATTCCCTGAAGGTGTGGTGCATTCTCTTTATTTAAAGACCAAAGTAAACTCACCTTTGCAAGTGATGACTGTGGTTGATTCATTAAACAAGTCCTCCAATGCTTGGGCTAAGGTTTCATAGGAACTATGAGCGCTCAAATCAACCTTCCTTCCAATCGGTATCCCATCCATATTTACCTTGACAAATGGGGAACTCCTGAGGTGTCCCTTTTCTTTGATATTAATGTTGTTATTATCAATGCCATTGTCAGCAGTCTTCCTTACCACAGTATTATTGCTCTTACTCTCTCCAGGCATAGAGTTGAATACTTCAGTTGATTTTGCATGGCTATTAAAGCTATTCACTCTATATGTTCGAAGCGGAGGCCATCCAACTACTTGGCTGTTTGGTAATTTCAATCACAACAGAAATAATAACCCCATCAGCAAAGAAAAGAGAATAAAGTTTGTAACTATTTGATTCACTTTGTTTCAAGAAAGGGACAGCAACACTACAGACATCATTAAGAAAAAGTAAAACCATGATCATCACAAAATAAAGCAAAATGTCTTTTGCACATGGCAAACTACTTGTTGAGAAGTGGTAAAATGTAAACCAACTCTTTGAGAAATAGTAAAAAAGGATTACAATTTAAAAGCAAGAAAATCATTCTACAACTTATTAAAAATAATTGCTTATTTTTGTCAAATTCCTGAGAGAGCTTTTAAAAAACATGCAACCATTTCTCTAGAATTACTCTCTACCAAACACACTATTAGTCTATTGATACCAATCAACAACTCCATATACTTCATAAACTATATGGGTAACTCCAACTTCCATAAGATCAGTTGCTGCTAACCTTATGTCAGACAAATAAAGGTTCTATTAACATAAGAGATTGACTTGATCCACTATAACATGCCATAGTTAAAACAGGGGCCAAACTGTTTGTTGCAGTGGGGGGGAGGGTATCATACCACACCCCATCCCCTTAAAATCTTAAAAATTAAACATACAATTTTCAAGATGTTAAAGCATGTTCTAATCAAATATAACTTTAGCCTCTCTCATCCCTCAGTAATGATTCTGATGCTAATTTTGCTGCTGATTAAAACTTCCCTTTATTTTTATTTTTTCTTTTTAGGTTGCTGAATCTAATTATAGGGAAACCTTTAAGCACGCATTAGATTAGAATTTTAATATTGTATATTTATCAATGGAATTGGATAAAAAATAATCAACCAAGATGCCAATAAGATTTAGTTTCAACCATGTTCAAGGAAAATTATTGCAATCTTGCTCTTCAGAGTTCAGGAATAACACAATTCCAACGTTTAGAATTAATGAAATAAATTCCACCCACATTTATGCAACCAAATGAATCTAGATCATCATAATCACATAAATAGTCACTCGAAAATACTATGACCATTACTATTTACCAAACCCTCCTGCGGATTTTGACAATACAAAACAAGTTCCCACAAGGGCAAAATTGTTGTAAATGGCAACCTCATAATAAGATACCAAGATTAAAACAAAAAGATAATACGATTAAATAACATAAAATTATGTTCTATTATATAACCACTCAATTCTTTTAATCTTTGAACTTTCTAATCTCAGTCTAGCCCATCTAATTTCTTAAGGCAAGCAAGCAACACCATGTTATTCATAAATTCACAAATAATAATAATAATAAAAGATAAATTTTGGACAGGAGCACAAAACCAAATATCTATAACTCCACATGAGATAAAAATTTAATAAGATCGAATTATAAAACGATTGTATGAACAACAAGGTAAGATACTCAAAACTAAGATGATGCATATATACCTGGGACGGTTATTAGCAACAAGAGAATCAGCAGCTCTCTTGGTGCCAGCAGTTATGTTGGGGCGGCTCAAAGAGGAAGGAGAGGAAGAGGAAGAAGAAGAAGGTGATGCTGTTGAAGAAGAAAAATCCTTAGCCGTGTAGATTCTAGCATAAGGACCATGGACATGGTTGTGAGACTTTGAAGAAGAGCGAGAAAGGCTCAACCCAAGACCCAATTCAAGCTCAGACTCTTCTGGGCACGAAGAGTCTTCAGAAGACAGCACCAAGTTATCATCTTTGGACAGCGTTGACATCGACCCACTATTAGCACAATCACTCAGAATTGTGGAAGAATAAGGTAAGGGGTGGAAGAATAAGAAGGGAATTGAGGTTTGAGTACAATAAACGGTTAGGTGGGAGTGGTGATGGAATTGAGAGAGAGAGAGAGAGAGACGGTGTCGGAAAGGCAATGTGGCCCCACCTGTCTGGTCTGGTTTGTGCGGTTCCTCCATCGATGTTTTGCTTTAACTTGATTGTACTTTTATTATCTTTTTCTTCTTCTTCTGGATTCTCTCTCGTCTTTTTCTTTGTCTACCCTCTACACTTGCGATAGGATATGACACGATCCATTCAACACTACTCAATTTCTCATCCTCGTAGCATGAGATACATAGTATCATACCCTGGATTTGGCAGAAAAAGTCGCAATCCACATGTTACATGATACATACTTTGTTTTTGTTTTTTTACTATGATGTTGCATAAATTTGTTTTTGCTTTTGTGAATATATTAAATATTTTATGTAAATGTATTTAACTATTTAGTAAGAAATCTGAGTCTCAAACTAAATTAGACCAAATTAAATATACTTATCACTGTAAAATTATATAATCGTAAAGATTTTAGAATGGGCAGCACGTGGAGTTTGTTTACCAGCAGCTGGTTTGACAGTTTGTTTAACCGAATAATTTTTTTAAAAAGTCACACAGTCAAACTGTTGTTTGGAGTTCGATTAAAGAAAAATTAGTTTGACTTTTCTTTAAAAATTATCCAATTCATAAGCTTCACCTCAAGGGATAATGTTCCTGTTAGATTATTATTTTTTTAAAAAGTAAACAAAATATATGAAAAGAACTCAAATTAAAACTTTCAACATAATCATCAGCTGGTCTGATTCAGATTTGCAACTATCACCCCCTCTTTACATTTTGCCCTTTTAGAAGGATACAAACTGAGACTTTCTATCAGGTGTGCCAAACTGTCAATTGAAGGCTAATAAGCAAAATTCATAAATTAGTTTATAGCTGTTGGATTGAGTAATCTGTTGAAGGGGGCATGACAAGATAACAAAATAGTCAAAGTTTATCTGCACTCTTAAAATAGATTAAAGAATAAAAAATAGATATGTTTAAAAAATATGGAAATGTATAATTTTGAATAAACTTTATAACAAAATTATTTATCAAATTTTAACAGCTTTTTACAGATCCTAAATTTATTAAAAATCTTTTAAAAGCAAAAAAAATTAAAATGGTACAGTCAAAGTTTATATGTTACCTAGACGTATAGTATTCTAATGACACAAAAAAGAAAATTGACCAATGAATGAGAAGTATTGTTTAAACAAAGAGGAGAAGAGAATGGGGGGACCAACATAATGGGTTGGAAACGACAACCCGACAAAGGTGGGACCAGACATCACACGGCTCGGGAAATGAAAAATAGGGTGTCGTTTGATGAAAGAGGTGTGGTGGGGAATGGCGACAGCCAACCACACAAATTGTCAATTCAGCCATCAACACTCAACACCTTTTATTTCTGCAACCTTTCCCTCTCCGCGTTTTATTTATGGTGGGATCAAACTTTAACTTGAAATTATCAATTAAAAAATGATTATCTGTGATCGAATAGACCTTAAAAATAAACCTTTGGGTTGAGTGGATATGTGGGGGAGATATATGTTTTAGTAATTTTGGGTCATATATAAATGTATTAGGATTATTATTTTATTAATTAAAAAATTAAAGTAGTTTAATTAATATAAAATTTATTGTTAAGAGTATATATGTCATGAAAGATTAATTGTATAAATATTATTAGTGATATTATAATTTATTAAGATGTCAAATTATAATTTTTAAATTTGAGGTAACCGTACAAAAGTTATGATTTTCATCTGTAGAGAAAGTTACAAAATATAAAATTTTAGTTCTTTCTCTATTTATCTTAATCATAAGAGAAACCCAAAAGAAAACTTAAAGTGCTTTATGTTTGAAAAATCAAATACTTACCATCAATCTCATAACCTTCATTATTTTTAATAGCGAATTTAAGTACGTTTTGGCATTCTATTTTTATTATAAAGTGAGGTATGGGTTTATAGAAAATCTATGATTGTGCTGTAATTTTTATTTTATATAAATAATAACATGTAGTTAAGCACAAATTATTTTATATGAATAATAACATATGGTTAAACACAAATACATGAACTATCATAGAAACTCAATCAAACTGAATCTATACATCATATTCAAATTGAAGTACTACAGTATTTGAATGAAACTCATCCTACCGTTAAATTATAGTGAAAAAAAGAAATCCAAATGCACATCGTCACATTAAATATTGAACGAAAATTCAAATGTGCAGTACCAACTATAAGAGTAATTTGATAAATAATTATCACCATATATTACAATTCAGAATTATGAAAAATTAATAAATCTTAATTTGGAACCTTAATTTTAAAATTTTCAAAATTATACATAAATTAAGTATGAATTGTTCTGATACTAATTATTAAAATTTTCTATCAAACAATAATCGTGTCTAACTATATGTTATTATACATATACAATCTTCTTCTTCTCTTCTTATCACACATAAATAATGAAGTCAAGATCGCATGAGTGTGACCTTACATTGCAGTGTTCACAGTCCACAGTGAATAAAATGTATTCTGCTTCTTTCTTTCATAAAAACTACTGCTCAGTGGCTTCTGCTTCAGCCCAATAATGTCCTTTTTGTTTAAGCCCAGTTTACCCCACAATTCCTTGTATTAAACTAAACAATAAATAACATGATTGGTTGAGTGGATTAAGATCTCACATCTACTTCAATCCTCCAATTCTCTTCTTTTATGATGAACTAAATATAGATTTGCATTCCTTCTCCATTTTATATATATAAAAAAAATATAATATCACATCAATTACTTCTTTTTATTTTATTTATGTGTAAACATCCTAACAGGTATTTACAAAATATTTTTTCTTTTTAATGGGTTTGGTCATTTCATTCCATATAACTTTTTTTCTTGTTTTCGTCATAAATATCTAAAAGTTTTATTGTCTGAGTAATGCTACAGTTTTAATAGATTAAATTTATTATTTTATAACAATTTTTAATATAATTTATTTGATCCAATTACAACATAACTATTTGATAGCACTATAATTGATCTCAAAGTGCCTTTGACAACCGTCTTAATAACACCACAAATAACTTCAGTTAGAACATCCTCAACAAAAACATGTGGTAACATTGATCAAAATTGATCTAATATCATATTAGTAACTTCAGTTGTAATACTATAAATGACCTTAACTAGAGCACCATCAATAAAAAAAAGTAACTTAAGACAAAATATCATTAAACCTGCATCACTAAACAATCATCCTCACTCTGATTAAAACTCACCTCAAATTAAATCATGAACTAATAATAATAGTAAAACATATAGGATTCTCCAAAACTTATCTCGTAAGTCAGAATGACTTGAACATCTAACATTGATTTTTAGCCTAAAAGTTCTATCGTTATTAGGCAGGGTTAAAATTTAAACATATCACATTAATTTGGTTAAAATTTAATTCCTAAAATAGTTTTATTAAGTTGCCTTGTGATCAACTTTAATTTATAGGATTATGTTTTAAAAATGCTAACAATTTGTAATTTTTGTGTGGATTGACAATATTTTAATGAATTTTTTTTAGACATACTTCTTTATTTTTTTTTTAAATTGAGAAATTCTCTCATTTAATTTTTTTAAAATTTGAAGAGATAAATTATTTTAAATTTATTAAAAAATTATATTAATTTTTTCTTTAAAAGACTCTGGAGAAATTTATCTAAATTATGCCTAAATTATATTTTTTCTTGTTTTATCAACAGTTAATGTGTACCATCTAATAGTTTTTAAAAGATAAAGATAAAATTAAAATTATTAAAAATAAAGTATTAATTTTACCTAAATCTAAGAAAACATGAATATATATATATATATATATATATATATATATATATATATATTCTTTAACTTTTTTACAAGACACATTTAATTAAAATAAACTAATAAAAATTGTTAAAGTTAGTTATATGTTTTATTATTTAAAAATTATTATGATAAGATAAATTTTTTTATTTGATAGCATTGGATCTAATTTTATTATTAATATTTACTTGTGTTAGTATTAATTTAAATTTTTAACAATTTTATTTATTAAGGATACATATAAAAATATAATAAATACTTCATAAAAATTATAAAGTATCTTATAATAACTTAATAAGCACTACTAAAATCTTGAAAAAAAAACTGCATAAAATATCGGAGGAAGTGTTAAAAGAATTATTGAATATTTCATATAAAAAAAATCTCACAATTGTCAATTTACACAAATGTTATAAATTGTTAGAATTTTTAAGAACATAAGCATGTAAATTAAAACGGTATGAATGATACGTCAACACTTTACTCATAAACACTCTCTACTTCAAATGGTAACCAAAAGGCAACTCAAGAATAAAATTCCAACTAAATTAATGTGATCTCCTTTCTTTAAAACTCAACAGCTTTTCAAGATTAAGAGTTTCTAAAGAGCACTTTGCTTCTAAAAGAGCTGTCTTTGAATGCCTTACATCCCTCCCTGTTCAAAGATTTTCCTATCTTCACATGATCAGACAAAACCTTATCTTGAGCTTCCATCTTATCTCTTGCACTTTTCCTTCTCTGAGTTGAGTATGCAGTCTTGTTCAATTCATTTATGCTTCCAACTAATCCATCATTGGCTGAAAGCAATATGTAGTTCAAATCATTTAGTTTAGCTTTAGTTTTCAGTTGAAAAATCATTTTTTACATTTTTCAAAAATAATATGCATTTAAGTAAAAGTCTATAATCAAGATTAATTATTACTTCCAACTAATAACAATTACCAGGACTAGATAAGACTGCACGTGGGCGTATAATAGAACTAGCTCTTGCATTTTCCTCTGGACTTTCACCAACTGGTTTTCTACTCTTTGATATTCCTGCGGAAAATGAAACATCATCAAAATCTATACGAAAAGAAACAATGTCAAAGAGATATTTGAAATAAATCTCAACCTTTAGTGGTTGAAGGAGTGGATCTCATTGGTTCATGCTGAGGACAAGCCTTTGTGTTTTTGGAAATTGACTCTGAACATTTATTATTATTCTTCTCTTCTGCTCTCAAAGATTAAGAATTTCATGTTTGAAGGCAATGCAAAAAAGGAAAGTTGCAGATACGCATTGTGGCTAAACTAAGCCAAATTAAACACAGTTACCTTCGAAGTATAGGGACCCGATGAACTTCAAAAACTTGCAAGTTCCACTATCTTTTTCCGGGTAAACATAGTCTTCTTGATCTGGGACTCTCACTCTCACCCTTGGATACACTTCAAAAATCAAAACAAGTTTATAAATAAAAGGTGGGATATTAGAACATTGGTTAACAAAAACACTACTAGATATGTGAAGGGAAACTCACTTTTATGTTGTGTTTTAGAACAAGAGTTTGGTATTGAAGATATGGAAGATTACTGCGAAGGTTGATACTTCTAGTGGTTTATAAAGCCTCAATGCACAACAACCTAGCTATTGGTAATTTGGTTGTGGGGGCAGATTTTGTTAAATGAGTAAAGAAGAAGTATAAAAGGGTGGAGTAAAGTGGAAAACGACAATTATATTTCTTTACTTGAACAACAAGGTGTGTATTGTTCAGAGTTGGGATTGCATGAGTGGTAATTGATGTGAATTATAAATAATATATATACAAAGAAAGAGAATAAGTTAATATTTTAAGAATAATTTTTTTAAATTAAGGGTTAAATAAGTTCCAGGTATTTTAAAATATATTCATATTTTAAAAATAATTTTAAAAAATATTTTTATTTTTTGCATGGTCTCTCTTTTAGTAATTCTTTACTGTTTTCTAATATATATTTATGTGTCATCTAATTTAACTTATATAAAATGATATAAAGTTGATGTAAATGGTGATATTACTTTTACACTTTCAGTCATTCATACTTTTGAGTTTCTATTTTAGAAATTATAACTTTATAAGTTAAAATTTTGTTTAAAAATATAAAAAATGTGATGTTATTAATAACATGTTTTGTTCTTTGTTTCAGTCAAATTACATGAACTAATTTAGATATTATATAAATAAATAATATAATAAGTTAATAAATTACTAAAAAATAGATGAATAAAAATGATAAATAATTTTAATAAAATAAATTAAACAATACTAATTTTTAAGGATCACAGCCTTATTTAGCCAATATTTAAATTGTTAATGATTTTTATTCCATTAAATTGTTAACTAGTATATAACATTATTTTAAAAATAATTAATTTTAAAAAAATGAAAAACGTTTATTTAAAATAATTTTTAATATTTTAATTGATAAATTATGAGTACAAAAATACCTAAAAATTTGCTACATTTAGAAGATGAAAGCTTTCTTTTTGTGCTTGATTAGTTTATTTATCTAAATACATACTTTTATTTTTTAATATATTTTACAATCAATCTTATAAATAAAATTTATTTATTAAATATTTATTAAAAAATAATTAAATGTTTTAAATACACCTAATTAAAAATAATCTCCCAAATAAAAATTGATTTAAAAGCTTTTCATACAAAGATTAAAAGACCATTCAAGAGAGCTTGTAAAGAGTTTATCCAAATTTAAGAAAACAGTTTAAAAGTTTGCAATTTTTAAACATAATTTATTAAAATATTTTTACAATATATTTAACAATTTTAACAATTAAATTTATAAAATAAATTGTTTGTACGGTGTTAAGACTTAAGACTAAGACGGTGCGTTAAATATCGCAGCACAGTGAGATCGAAATTGCGAAGGGGCTAAAACCCTAATTACCTCATTCATTCGTTTCCATGGCGTCGCAATCTCGAAGAGGTGGAGTCTCGCTCCCAGACAGGCCAAGGAACGACGGCGGCTCCATCATCACCAAGATCTCACGCTCCCCCATCATCTACCGAAGCAAGCAAGCCGCCGGCGACGCCGCATTCGTTGCCAAGAAGCTCCTCCGAAGCACCGGCAAGGCCGCGTGGATTGCCGGCACCACCTTCCTCGTTCTCGTTGTCCCTCTCATCATCGAGATGGATCGAGAGCAACAGCTCAACGACCTCGAGCTTCAGCAGGCCAGCCTCCTCGGTACCCCCTCCACCAAGTGAATTAACCCTAGGTTTTCTCAGATCTATGTTCTTCTGATTCTAGAGTTTCAATAATTTTACGTTTGTACCTTTTCAGAAACCTCACTGGGAGAAGTTTTGTGTATTCTTAAGCTTACTATCTGTTATCAGTTAATCAAATGCGGCTTGCGATGTTTAATTTAACTTCTACTTGCTGAATGCTTCTATGTGGTTAGCTGGGTATTGTTTTGAAAAAAAAAATGAATATGTTGTAGTGTTAGTTAATTGAAGTAGTTATGAACATGAAAACGTGTATTTCATTTTCCTTTTTCAGTATTGTTTTTGAAACACACTCTTGTGGTTTATGAATTGGGTGTGCTTTAATCTCGTTCTGTTTGCTACAATTATGATGCTTGTTATTGGGGATTAATTTGGAAAGGGGAGGTGGAGGAGATGTTTCGTGTATATATTCTTTTGCTTTCAACCAGAAGCATAAACTAAGGGAATTGGGTTGGGTTGAATCAATTGATGACAGTAAACTTTTTGATCGTCTGAAAACAGGGGGAACGACTCTATAACTACTTTTCATTGGCCTGCACATGGTATCATCTTTGGAGGGTTGATTTCCTCCAAATCCAGTTAGTAGAAACACCCCCAGTCTTTTAATTTTCGTTTCTTTTTTAGATTCATAATCTCTAATGATTTCCAGTTGAAGTTCAAACTGCCTCCTCCAGTTATATAAGGCCCTGCCATCTTCTTCCTCTGTTCCATCACTGCATTCCTCTCTGTAGGTTCGTTGTCACCAAACCAGATTATCTTTTGTTATTTAAGGATTTTGTGATTTAGATCTGCTGTTTATGCGGTTTGTTCTAAGCTTTCTGCTGGGTTTGGTTATGAATTGCTTGCTTGTATGCCATTGCCAGCGGTCCAAAGCTTAGTGAGCTCAGGGGAGCAGAAATATAAGGTGCATTTAGATAACTGCTTATGTAACCATTTATTCAATATTTTCTATTTATAATAAAGAATGATGTCTTAATTTATCAATGAAACTTGATAAGATATCAAGAAGCTTGTGGAAATAAGTTGAAAACGGTTTTAAATGGTCATAAGCTATATTCTGTAAGTTTTTTCTAACAGGATCACTTAGTGACGATATGGCTGCCGAGATATCAGTTGTGCTGAAGGGTAGTTCCAAAGCTAATGCACATTGTAACATAAAAAATCTTAATTGTGCAGGAAATTAATACAAAAAACCAAATATAACAATGAGGTTGCATTTCATCGATCCATATCATTGGTCTCTTAATTGTTTGTTTGATGATGGCATGTTCGGCTATCTATAGAGCGTGTCTTGATCATTTTATAATAGCCGAGAAATTTTTGTGCCCAACCATGTCCTTATTTAGTTATTTTTATATCGTCACATTATTAAGGCGAGCTGCGTATCATGTAGATATAACAACGGTTCAGGTATCGAATTATAATATTCATATTCATATTTACTTTTAAAAATTATTTGATTCAACTCAATATTATTTTGGTGATTTTTTTAAGGTAAAATTTATTATATCTTTTTTAATTGAGAGGGCTTGGTACCTTTTTTTTACACATGTAATAATTATAATCGTTATTTTATATTAATAGATATGAGGTTAAAAAATGTTAATATCTTCTAATTTTTATTTAAGACAGGAAAGAATTTTTAAATCTTCATTTAGAAAAAATACAAAATACTTTCTAAGTTTCTGGGTATTGCATCAAACACTTTTTTTTTTTTTTAAATTATTCACAGTTGAAAATCTGCAAATGCCCTGTCAAACATTGAGCAGTTATAGTTGATTTTACGGTTGTATACGGAGCTCGATTAGTTTGTAATTCTGAAAATGGGATTGTACTGGCCGGTTGCACTGGGGACTGATCAGGCATCGGTCCAGACAATCCAGAAAATTTAAAATTAAAACTAAAAAAAAAAAAAAGGTCACGAACTAGCCAAAACTGTTCAAGAAGCATCTCAAAAAATTGGTTTAAAATGGTTTGTTTAGTTCTCGCATTGATAGCTCAATGCCGAGAGCTAGCAGGGCATATGTATCATGCAGATACATAAAAGGGTATTTTTATATATCTTTTATGTATTAATTGTAAATAAAAAAACATTTTTAGGGATTTTGGTTAATTTTGAACGTTTATAATTTTTGTTAAAAATTACAAGTGTAATAGTTAAAATATTATAATATTAATAGAGAAACTTTGTTAAAGTAAGTGAATCTCCTTATATATGTGTTTGTAAGAGCACTAGGGAAACATAATTAAAATATATTGGTTTTCATTATTTTATTTTATTTTTTGCTTTATAATGCTTTTTTCTAATCAACTTGTTTCATGCTTGTGTGTGTGTGTGTAGTTACGAAGATAAAAGAAAAAAGCAAAAGGTGCAATGGCCCAACTGCTAGTCTGATTACAACTTTTAAGAGCACTTGTAGTTCCTTGATAACAAAGAAGCAATTAGACCAAATAATAATAACGACAACAAAAAACAAAAATGCTAGTCGATAGGTCTCACCCCTAAAACAAAGCTATTCGACAGCAGTCCGATATTTCACCAAGTTTCTACGAAAAAAAGTACTCTGATTAGATGTGCCTGGATACACACATAAAAAAGTGTTCCTTGATACATTATTATAGAAAAAAGAACCAGTAGCCAAGGTAGAAGTGGAAAACCACTTCATTATCAATTACACACGTAATTATAATTATATATATTTTAAAAAAATAATAATGACTACAATGATAACATCTTTTGTGCCTAACAACACAGTCATGCATAAATGGGAAGGAGGAAGAGAAACCATGGGATGAGACGGGTGATAAAGAATTAAAGTTAGACATTCTATCTATGATAAGAGTTTTTTTTTTTTTTTTTACAATCAATTAAAGAATATAATTACATCTCATATGATAGTTGGTGGAGACCATAAACATATTAATAACTTTCAGATATATGCTTTACTTGTTTCTACTAAAGTATAGAGAATTAAAATTAACATAGGATGAAATTGATTAAGTTCAACTCATTCCATGTATTTGGTTTGGATGAGTTGAAGTTTTATAAAGATATGATTGCATTTCTATGGATCACTTCAAAACTTTACTTGTTGAAGCTAGGATGAAATGGGGATGGAGTTAGGCCAAAATTTGTTTTCTAGTGTTGCCACTTATTAATCGGCACCTGCGTGTTTGTTTTTGATATTATGAAAATAAAACGATTCAAATAAATGTTAATAGTATTTTTTTTTATTTATATTTCAATCCATCTAAATATTATATAATTTCGCTAATATTTCATCTTCATTTCCTTTCATTCTATTTAAATCCTTTTAATTTCACCCTTAAATCCAAACAAAGAGTTAGAGGATGCATGTCATGTGAAGCAACAGACTTAAAAAAGTGCATTAGAGAAGGGACTGTTTGATCAACAAAGAAGGGTATTGTCATATCTCTGCCAAAGTTATATGGTAGGGACAAATAGATGTATCACACACAATCTGATGAACTTATGTCCCACGCTTTACTTTCCCAATTCAAGGCTCAAATTGTATTCGCCCATCTCAAACTCGAGACATCAATTATGATCTTAATTTTAACCCTTTTTCGTCCAAGCTATACAAAGTCTGCAAGTATATTTATCTAACATGTTAAAAAGTAGTCTATGAACCACTTGTGTATATATATATGATATACAAAGTCCAATTCTCAATACTTACCATCTTTTTTCTTCAACAATGACTTGAGAAATAACAAACAAACAATTAAGAAACCCAAAGCTGCAAACCCTCCCACTGCAAGAGCCACAGTCCTCTGCGTGTGTTGTAGCCCCACTGACCCTGATCCAATCAAACACAACAACAAAACACGTTTTATGAAACTGATTCAACTAGCATACATGCATCACAGCAACAAGAAGTAAATTTTAAATAGAAGACATCTTCAATTCTTCATCCACCTACCAACACCCTATGAATCCTTTACTCTACCCCTTTCTCAAATTAGCCCCGATTTCGAACTAACAAGAACATAAATCAATTCATAAACACACGTAATATAATACATTACATTGCATTTTTTTCACTAGTTGAAACCCCCCACGAGCTCGTTGTGATATAGCCACAAACAGATAGAAACTGGCATGAATCTTCTTATAATCACAGAAATTACATCAAAGTAAGAGAAGGAAGATATTGTCTCCATTGCTCTACCTGGAGAAGATGACAAGATAGACACTCCCTTGGAGTAATAGCTGTAGCTGATAAAACACTTATGGAGATAAATTTGTGCAGAATCTGAGTCACCACACTCAGCTTTGGTCTGATCCTCAGCACTCTTCATACAATCCCCACAATCATCATTGGCCAAATCACCCTCACACTGCCCCAACACATAGAGAGACTGGTAGCTCCCAGTGTAAAACAAGTTTCCACCACTTTTCACTCCATTTTCCACCATGCCAAACGCATAGTCCCTTCTCTCCTCAAACCCATCACTCTCCTGCTTGGCCCCACAAACCTTGTAAAGCAACTGAGTCTCAGGTACCTGCTTGAACCCGACAACCTCGTACCTCAAGTAGCACCCTGTGAGCTGAATACGAGCAGCCACCACTTTTCCACATAGCTTGTCAAGCATGTAAGGAATCTTGCTGACACAGTTGTAGCATGCAGAGTTTGAAAGGTCCCCTCTACATTGGTACAAACCCATGATCACATTCTGGCCATTCCCTGAGGTTGTGGTTGAGAAGCCCTTTTGTGCTGATTGTGCCACCAGAGAAACCAAGAGGGCTTTGAGGTTCTGTGAGTATATCCCTGATGGTGGATCATGCAGTTTCTGATCCGCACAACCCTTGTAAACCAAGTTTGTGTTGTCTGCTTCTGACATAGGATGATGAAGAAGAAGGAACCAAAAAACAGTGAAGAGAAATGGAAAGGGGTGAGAGAAACGTTTTCTGATCATGCCCATTTGAGGGGTTGAAGAAAGTTTAGTTCTTTTTTGTTTTCTTTAATCTCACTCACAACATGGAAGGTTTTGGAAGATTGTTTTGGCTTACTCGGTTTTAAGTGTCTTTTGCTTTTCCTTTCTCTGTGTTTGACACATCTATATCCCTACTTGGATGAATCTTTTCTAAGCCTCAATAATGAATCTGGTTTGTTAATGTCTAATTAAAGATCACTTTATATGTTAATTGGAAATTCGTTTCTAACATTTTCAAAATAATGAATTAATCGTTAAACCATCCTAATAAATTGGTTAATTGAATAAATGGAATGGATGTGGCCAATTAATCTGATTTATTCTGTTTCAAACTATTAAATGATAATGATGAAGTTAGTGCATGAAAATTTTGACCAGAGAGTAAGAAGGTAACTTTTGAATGCATTGACTGAGCATATAATAACTTTGTAGTCACGTTGAGACCGTGTTCCAGCGTGGCATTTGGGGTTTTAAAAGCATGGGAATGAACTATGAACAATGTGAAACTGAAGTCTCAAGCTACCCTTTTTCTATTATAAGTAGGAATATATCATTTTGTTGGAGAAAATTATAAATAAATGATAAAAATATATCAACTAAATACAAATAATAATAATTGTAATAATACCCAACCTATTCTAGCTTATGATGATGTAAAACTAAACATTTCTTATATTATTAATGGTTTTATATAAGTATTATTTGTAATGAAATTATCTAATAAAAGCTATTTAATGATGTAAAAGTAATTTTAATTTTCATACCATATAGTAACTGATCAAAATAAATAAATAAATAAATATATATATATATACTATGACTCGAAACAATCTCTATCAATTGTGTTAATAAGGATTTAAATTTTAAAGTCATCAATCTTGAAAAGGCTTTATTTAATTATCACATTCTACAAGGAGAGCTTGAGCATGAATGGAAAATTAATAAAAAGTCCAAATGAGTTTTTTAGATGAAGTATAGAGATGTGGTCGTTCAGAGTAAGTTATGAAACTCAAGAAATTAGTCAAGTAAATAAGATAAAATCACAAATTTTAGATAAATATAAAACTTTCGTAAACATTTGTTTTTTTAAATATATTATATTTTTCTCTAATTTTTTATAAATGTTTTTTAAACTCGTTAACTTTTTCTTCTTAAATAAGATATAATATGTCTTTTCTCTCCTAAATTTTATGCGCACACAAATAAATAAAATAAAATAAAAACATAAAATTTAGTTGGACAAGTGGTTGCAGAAAAAGAGACTTGGGCAATGTGAATGCAATAATGATTTTTTTTGAGTTATAAATAATATTGATTTTTATATTATTTTATTATAATTATTATTATAAATAAATATGTCATATTATTTCTCAGCTCAACATGGGTTAAGTGGGATTTATGACAATACTCTGCTTTGAAAATATTAAATGCAGTTATATATCTAAGTCTTGAATTTAAAATTATTGATTAAAGTTAAAACATTTTTTTTATCATTTGATCACATACTTAATAAGTATAAAATACAGAAAAGTACTTATTTAATTTTTTGACTTTAACTTAAAATTTAGTAACCGCGCGTATTTAAAATAGTTATTGTTTTATATTTTAATTTATTTCAAATGCTTCCTTCTTAAAAATTAGAATAATATTATTTATTTATTATTTTTTTAATATTAAAAGAAAGTGAGATGGTATAGATACTTTTATTTTATAATGTTGATGATTTTATGTTATAAAAAACGGTTAGAGAAAGAGTGTACGTTTAATGATTTGCAAAATAAAAATAAAAAGTAAAAAAATAGACATATAGTATGAATTTAACGAACATACAAATAAATAAAAATAAATTTAAAACTTTGAAACTTAAATGTTATATGTACAAGTATGACTAACAAAATTAATGAAAAAAATTAATAAAAACATAAAAAACAAATAATAATTAAAATTTTAAAATTAAAAATTAAAAATTAAAAATTAGTAAGTTAACAGATTAAATTAAAAAAACAAGACTGTATATATAAGAGAATTATTGTAATTGGAGTGCCATGTGTACTTCTATTCTAACAAGTGGCACAAAGTATAGAAGTCATGTAACCCATTTGCCCTTTGCAATTCACACATCATTTAGTGGAATATACTTTTGAAAGATGTTAATCATTATTCTCTTTATTTATATAAGAAACAAAAGACTAAATTATCATAATCAAATAAAATAATTAAATATATTATGTTTTTTATAAATATAAATTTTATTTCAAAAATATTTATGATGTTAAATGATATAATTAATAATTTGTATATTTAATGATATTAATAAAAAAAGATATAAAAAATTTAATAATTAATTAATCTTAAATTTATTTTTTATTTTTATAATAAAGACAAAAAATGTTCTATTTTATATTTTATTAAAAAAATCAAATGAAATATTAATTAAAAGTACTGTGCATTTGTAAATCCAAGACACACTTTGCATCAATTCAAGAAAGCATGTATCTCTTCTTCAAGATCAATCTTTTCCATGTAATTTCATAAATATAACTTTGTGGAAGCCATGCTATTCCTTTTAAAAGCATGCTAATAATACTTTAGTATATAAAAAACAATGCTTTTAATTGTTATTTTTTATAGATATAATCAATCTGTTATTGATTTTATTAAGTTTTATGTTATTTTAATTTACAATTATTTCATTCAGGCATAATTATTTTAGTAAGGATACATTGATCTTTTAATTATTTTCATTTTTTTAGTACACCATTAATTCCAAAAATTGAATTACGCTTCAATAGTTTAATTAAAATATATTATCTACATTGTCATTAAATTATAAATTAACATATAAATGAAAGTTAATATAAAAATATATTTTCTTAATTAGTAATAATCTGAACAAGTAATTTTGAAGATAATGGTAACATATGAATGAGGAGTAATAAAAGAGCTGGGGAAGGTGAAAAGAACAGTTTACTGTGGCACCCTATATTTTCCCCCAACTCAGTCCTTTCTTCTTCTCCCTCCTTAAGCTAACAACAATCATCAAAATGCTAAGCATTCACAAATCATCATGCAGATACAGATGCAGATTGCAGGTCACTTTTCATCTTCATTCCTCTATTGTCGTTTTCCTCTTTCTCGTCGTTTTCATTCCATCTTCTCATTCCTCGTTTCTCTCTCCAGTGCCCCTCTCCCTCCTGAAGCGTCGTTTTGCATCCCGTGCTTGTCGTTTTGCTGCTCCACCGCATTGTCGTCTCTCGCTCTGTTAGTGGTTTTTGTTCTTTTCGTTTTCAACGTGGGAAATGTTATGTGTGTGTGTTTTTCTTTGTGCTTTCATGTCGTTTCGAGGTTTTGATTGTTGGAGTCAGTGTCCAAGCTTCGGCTGGTAAGATCAACTTTTGCTCTGTGCGAATATTCTCTATTGCGTGTTCTCGTGCATATTTTAGCTAGGGTTTGGGTGTGAATGCATGTTTGAAATTCACAGTTTCTGAGACTGTCTTTCTTTAGTACTTGTTTTCAAAGATTAACTCGAGAAATTTCAGTGCGTTTATGTGACCATTCACTCACTTCATTCCGTTTACGCGTGTCTTGTTGCGTTTGAGTTTCTGAGCGTTGCCCCTTTTTCTTCTAACGTATTTATTGAGGAGCACGAAGCACCTGCGTTATCCTAACATGCAATATGATATGGGCTTTCGTTTCCCTAATTTTTCAGTTATGTGTAAATATATGTAGAATTCATTTTTTACTCCTTTAATTTCAAGTCTTGGACTGAAAGATTACGACGACGGAGAAGTTAAAACATTTGATCGACTCGTTGACTCATATTCTGCTTCTTGCAGCAGGCTTTCTTAAGAAGGATATTGATGATACAAGATATTATATCTATATGTCAAAATACTGACTTTTCTTTTTATTGAATTTCCTTTTTTAATTGTCTGGATTTTGGCTTATGTACCTAGCTTTTAATGTTATTGAAAAATGGGATAACTGAATTTTCTGTGTTCCCCCTGCTTTTTTCAGCTTAATTTCTCACAAATCATTTATTGTATTTCCGTTCTCAGAAATCTTTTGAGATTTGGGGGTGCTTAACCTTTGGGAGACTGTAGTAAAAGTAACTCAAGTAATTGTTGGCTGATTATAAATGGCACCCAATAAAAGAGTGGCTGGGGCTTATCGTGCAATGGCAAGTCTTGGGATTGCTGAAACAAAAGTGAAATCAGTATTAAAGAAACTCCTCAAATTGTATGACAAAAATTGGGATCTTATTGAGGAAGAGAACTATAGAGTCCTAGCAGATGCTATATTTGAGGATGAAGAAAATGAGGTGTTGTTTCCCACTTCATATGCTCTTTATTTCTCTCCCCTCCCCCCACCCCCAACCTACTCAGGTTTCTTCTACATATTTACTTCCTTCCTTGGGTTTCATTTAACAGGTGCCTGAACTGAAAAAGAAGAGCCAGACAGTTGATGTACATAATACTCATTGTTCTTTGTTGACTGAGTTAATCTGCGTACTTTTTTTTTTTTTTAAATTTTATGCCTGTAGGTTCTGAAATGTCTTCTGCCTTTTCAAACTACCAGGAAGAAGAGACGGAGGGTGAAGAGACTCAAATGCATATTGAAGAAGCCCGACCTTTGAAAAGGTTGCGTTTAAGAGGCCAAGAGAGTCAGCCTTTGAATTCTCTGAATAACAGTACCTCCAGCTCTTCTGCTTCTCCATCAAAAAAGCCTAGATTAGAAGACAATGCATTCTCCAAGGGTCATTCTGGACAGAAGCCTCAAAACAGAGAAGTGTCATCTGATGGGAATGTGAGGATTGAAGCACACCCACTCCCACCACAAGATGGTATTGTTGACAAGGGAAAGCAACCTGCATCACCCCAAGTTGCTCACGGAGGAAGAAGACTTGCATCTGAAAGAGTGACCCCATCCTTACCATCTAAACAACAAACAGTTGAACAAGGAAAGCTTCTGTTGTCAAACAATCAAATGCCTTGTACTCACACACTTATCATACCCAAGGATGAGCCTATTGATGAATTGCCTGATTATGAGGTTCCAATTGCAGTGATTCCTCCTGGTATTAAATGGACTATTCCCTCATTGATTCTTGCTATCTTTTTAGTGGAATGATATATTAGCTGTGACTAGCATCTTTGGATTATAGTTTGCAAACTGTGACTTTGCTTATCAGAAAAGCAACTTTTCCCCCCATGTCCATTCAGACCATGGATTGATACTCAAAATCACGTTCAAAAACAACCTACCATGGCTTTGCCAGACATGTTAGTTGTAGATGAAACTTTCTTTGCATTTGCCCAGCCTTTGGGTTGTGCAAACTGCAATCCAAACATGCTCAGTTATGTTCTTGGTAGTATTGTGCATTAGATGGAAATATATTCTTATGAAAATACAGAAAGATCTTTAATCTGCATACCTCACAAGAATATAGAAGTCAATGCACAGATTTTGGTATGGTGTTTGCATAATTATAATTAGATCACATTAGTTGCCTACTGATCAAAGTCAGGCACTGTGGTCCCTTCATATGCTCTAATTGGCATATACAATATGCAAGTCTTTAGTAATCTATCATCTTTGTAGAAGTTTGTCATAACTCATAAGATGCTCTATGATGTTCATTGCTTGTATATGTTGAAATAGTTAGGGTTCTGGCATCTGAATCAGTTTTATCTCAGTCTAAAGCTAAGTAAAATGTTAATTTTGTCTCAATTATTCTTGTAGTTGTCGTGTTGCCCTTTTTTAGTATTTTGTTGCCAATTAACATTCATTTTGTTAGGAGGTTAACTAATGATTTTTTTCTTCTCTCAGAACCATCAAGTGTAAGGCGCTTATCAATGAAGAATGGTGTAGCTGGAAAGCATGGTAGCCATGCTAGTGTGACATCATCACAATGCCAAGATGGAAATAGAGATGAAGATATTCTTCCTTCATCAAATGAAGAAGCGACTTGTACTGTAGAGATAGCTTCATCAACTCTTGGAGAGGTAAAACTTTCTTTGAGCTGCAGCTCAGCTCTTCGGGGACCAGATTTTCGTATGCCTAGTCGAGATCAACTTCTAGAAATGATTGAGGATAAATGTCTGCATTCATATAAAATCACTGACCCAAATTTTTCTGTCCTGAAACTGTTGAGAGATATATGTGATTGCATGTTGGAATCTAGAACTGATTCAAATGATGGGTTGCAAGAAGGCTCTATGATAAGAACCAGTGTTGACGTGTTGAAGGAATCAGAGGCACATGGCAAACAGAGTGTAGGAGGAAATAAGGATTTGGAGATGTTTTCTCACTCTTCCAATGGATCAGTTGATGTCAAGTCTTCTGCTGCCTTAGTTTCTCCCCAAGGTACCTTTTCTATACCCCCCCTGAGTGGCTTGGATGATGCTGTAATGGTTTCCAAGATGGGCAGCACAAATGATTTTTCACAAAGTATTGTCAGAAAGGATCTGGAAGCTCCTACATCTCCAAATTCTCATAGTTTAGTTGTTGTTTCACAGCATCAGCTTACAGCTGATGATATAAGGTCTTTTCATGATGTTAATGACCTTACAAAAGGAGAAGAAATTGTTCAAATTGCATGGGTGAATGAAAATACCACTGACTTTCCACCAGCTTTTAACTACATTCCCCAAAACCTTGTGTTCCAAGATGCTTATGTGAACATTTCTCTATCCCGTATTGGGGGCAAGGATTGTTGTTCAACTTGTATGGGCAATTGTCTCTTGCCATCTACATCCTGTGTTTGTGCAAATAAAACTGGAGGTGAATTTGCATACACTGCTCAAGGCTTACTGAAGGAAGAGTTTGTGGAAGAGTGCATTGCCATTAGTTGCAACCCTCAACAACATTTCTTCTATTGCAAAGATTGCCCACTTGAAAGATCTAAGAATGGTGGTTGTTTAGAACCATGTAGAGGACATTTAAAGAGGAAGTTTATTAAAGAATGTTGGAGCAAATGTGGCTGCGGGAAACAGTGTGGCAATCGAGTTATACAGCGAGGAATAACTTGCAACTTGCAGGTGGGTCATGTGGGTGTTTCAGTAATCTTTGCCAGTTGTAAAAAAAGTAGATTTTCTTCGAAGTTGATGCACAATTTATATTCTTAAGTTGTTTCTTAATTGGATGCTATTAAAAATATTTCTCATAAATATCTGGAAATTAGGTATTTTTCACTTCAGAGGGAAAAGGATGGGGTCTTCGTACCTTAGAGGACTTGCCAAAGGGTGCATTTGTGTGTGAATTTGTTGGAGAAATTTTAACCATTAAAGAGTTGCATGAGAGGAATATGAAATGCACTAAAAATGGGAAATATACATACCCAATCCTACTGGATGCGAATTGGGATTCAGGATTTGTGAAGGACGAAGAAGCTCTATGCTTGGATGCAGCCTCCTTTGGCAACACTGCTAGATTTATCAATCACAGGTATTAACCCTTAGATAATTTGGCACTCTTAAGGTTCAAAAATAGGGGAAGTGAACAAGAAATTTCTTGAGTCAATTATTGTCTCCTGAAATGTTGAAACACTACAGTTCTACATTTTGTTGATATATTTTAAGTTAATAAATTCTCGTTTACAACTTACATAAGTATATTATCAGTTTTGTCTCGGTACTATTTCTTACTACTGCTGTTCAATAGACTCGCTTTGCTTGATTGCTCTTTTTATTGATATTGTGAAAAAAGCTGAAGACAAATATTCATTGATATAGTTGATTTATATTTATATGGACAAAGAACATTAATTTTTGAAATTTGATGGGGAGGGCCCCGGGTTGTGATTTCTACTTAACAAACTATGGAAAAAAATATTACAGTGAAAAATTCATCAAATTTAGTATTATTTATAAACTTTATATGAATAAGATATTGTTGGGTGTCATTATAGTGGAAGTAGTTCACTGTTTTTTAACACATGCCCCTCTAATTATCCAAAGAGAAAAATGATTTTTTTTCCATGTAATTGTTAATTTGTTATGAATGAGAAACATTTAATTGTGTTGACAAAGATTTGTGATACAAAAGCTCAAAGAAGCTTCTTTCCATCTGTATGCTTTGGATGATTGATTGTGCATGGAGATGATACTTATGATTGTGTTCTCTTAACTTTTATTAAAGAATGGCTAGGCAGACATTTGGCACATTATTTTAAAGATTTTATAATAAATCTATGTCATATTCCAGATGTTCTGATGCAAACTTGGTGGAGATCCCAGTCGAAGTTGAGGATCCCGATCATTACTACTATCATGTGAGAAACTAGCAAATTGTTGAAATCCCATCTGCAGTTTTTAGCATCTTCTGTTTGCATGACAAGCTGGCATATTTTGCTTGCTGATACTTTTAATATGTTAACATGTGCAGTTTGCCCTTTTTGCTTCCAGAAAAATAGCAGCACAGGAAGAACTAACATGGGTAAGTTTGGTTCTGTAATATGGTGTTTGGTGAACGGGTATATAAAAATCTTTAATTCTTCATGGTGCCTATTATTTGCTTTTGCTCTATTTTTTTCAAGTAGGGAACAATTAGCAATGCTATCAAGTTTGAGATAATTTGTTTATTCACATTAGAAATTATTTTTTTAGTTGTTTATGACTGGTGAGTTAACAAATGCTAATGTACATTGGTTAGTTGGCAAACCATTTAATATGGTTATACTGACCAGTATCTTATCATTTGTGTAGTTCACTTTTTACAGACCATTTAATTAATCTAAGAATCAATTTTTTTCTCTAGAAGAGTCAATGTTCACGGTATTTCTGCAGGATTATGGCATTGACTTTGATGACCCTGATCATCCTGTCAAACTGTTCCAGTGCAGATGTGGCAGTAGATTCTGCAGGAATATGAAGCGATCAAATAGTAAGTTGAATCTACTGCTCTTGGGTAATATGAAGCTTTCACTATTGGTGTGAATTGTGATTTCAGTAACGAGTTTTTGCTCTTTTATGATGCAGGATCCATTAGATCTGCTTCATTTGGACGATGATAGGGATTCTCTGGTAAAACTAATTTTGTTGTCTGACCCGTGCATGGGATGTTGTGTTGTAATGAGACCCAGCCAACCACAAGTGGTGCTTTTTCCTCATTTTGGGTTTTGTTACGTTAGTGGTTGGGAGACTAGTTACTTTGTACAGTTTTTTGAAAACTATAAGGCAGACTTGTCCTAAGAAAGGAGTTAACGTTTAGTGTGGTTCTTCAGATGCATGTTTCATCAGTTTGGGCCTCATAATACACTATTAACAGAACAAAAGAAAGTGTTATACATAGTTTCTTTAGTTAATTTTATTTTTCTCGAAATAATAGTCATTTTACAGTTTTAAGGTATAATTAATTTATTCTAATTTTATTATTAAGATATTTTTTATTTAGAAAAAAAGTATTTTTTTCTCTCGGCTCATTTATGACATAAATTTTAGAATAAGTATAATAAGAAATTTCATAATGCTTTTAATGAAAACAAGATAAATGTATTTTTAAATTTTATGTAATGACTGTAAAAGATGGAGGTAGTATATTGTTTCACTATTACAAACAGAACCAACTAATGACGACGGACTTTACTTTGCACCGGGAGGTGTGGTTCAGTAATTTACAATTACCGATGAAGCCGTTGACAGGGATTCCCTTCCATGCGGCCTACAAAGGATTTCATGCTCAGAAGTAGAAGGCATGACCGGTCTAATGCACCCTGGATTGAGCGGGAAAAGGATTTTGTAGTAACCATCCATAATTTCTGTAAAATTGCAAGTATCTGCAACCTTGGGAATCTGTGAAATGGCATGAGCACGCATCACAGTAATTAGCACGAAATTACAATTAGCAACAGAATTGATTGATAATTGGTAATCATTCTGAGGGGCATGTACCTGATAAATGTCGCGCATGTAGGCATGTAGATTGGAATACTCGTACAACTTCTTCTTGGTGCATTTAAAAAGAACGCTATAGGCAAGATCAAACCGAATTAGAGTGGTAAATAGGCATATATCTACAAGGGTCAATGCATGTCCACATAAATAGCGGGAATTCCCCAAGTGATCCTCTAATTTGTCAAGTGTACAGAACAAGTCATTCACCGCTTTATCATAAGCTTCTTGGCTCTGCGCAAACCCACACCTGCAATTGCCAAAAGTTCCCAATTTAATGAACTAGAAACAATTCAATTCTCAAGTCTCAGTTCTAAATACTTAACCTCACTCACCTATATACCCCGTTGTTGACATTTTGGTATATAACTTGATACCATTCCTCAATCTTTTCCTTCAATTCAGGGGGTGAGAGATCCAAAACTGGGTTTTGGGCTAACTCATTTAACCCGGAATTGAACAATTGAATTATATCGTAGCTCTCGTTGCAGATAACATCCTTTGAATCGTTGTCCCACAACATGGGCACCGTGGACCTTCCATCGTACCCACCTCTTCTAAGCCCATAAACTTCCTTCAATGTCTTGCATCCATTCGCCTTATCCAAACTCGGACTAATCCCACTCGCACCCGCACCACCGACCCGCTTGAATTCCCACGACCCGTCCAGGCCCGGGGACGCAACCGAGACCGGCACGGCCTCTTCCAGGCCCTTCAGCGCCCGCACTATCATAGTACGGTGGGCCCACGGGCACGGCAGGCCCACGTAGAGGTGGAGGCTACGGGGAGGCGACAGCCCCGATATTCGGAATTTAGAAGCGGGCCTGGAATAACCTCCGGAGGAGTCGGAGGGAGCGAGCTGGGACATCATGAGACGCCACGTGGAGTTCCAGGCGGTGCGCACGGTGGCGACGAGGAGCCCCGGCGGTAACGACTGCCCCCATAGTAGTTTGGTCACCGCATTCAGCAATGAAGAAGAATTGAAGTTCTTGTTATTATCGTTGTTGTTCAGCGACATCCTCAAGCAGGGACGGATGACGTGGCGTCTGGTGAGTCGCCGGTGACGGGAATTGCTCGACGGAGTAATGACAAGATGATGAGAGTGAGAGAGAAGGGAAGAAGCACAGAACGACATCGTTTTCTATCAAGCTCATTAATTGCTTTGTGGAATAAAAAAAATAATGGTATTATTTGTGTTTGGGGAGCCCAACAAGAAGTTAGGCCCAGCCCATTGAAACCCTAAAAACCCTCGTGGTTTTGCATATATATAGAGAAAAACGTTACAGTGAGAAGAGTGGGAAGAGAGAGAGAGAGAGAGAGAGAGAGAGAGAGAGAGAGATGTCGAAGAGAGGTCGCGGTGGATCGGCGGGAAACAAGTTCCGCATGTCGCTGGGTCTTCCGGTGGCGGCGACGGTGAACTGTGCCGACAACACCGGGGCGAAGAACCTCTACATCATTTCGGTGAAAGGTATCAAAGGTCGGTTGAACCGTCTTCCATCGGCTTGCGTCGGCGACATGGTTATGGCCACCGTGAAGAAGGGGAAGCCGGATCTGAGGAAGAAGGTGTTGCCAGCAGTGATCGTTCGGCAGCGCAAGCCTTGGCGCAGAAAGGACGGGGTTTATATGTACTTCGAAGGTATTCAATTCCACTCCATCTCGTTTACTTGGATTTGGAATTTGTTGCTTCTGTAATGCTGAGTGCCATGTTTTGTGTTTGGTCATTCACACTGGGAAGCATAGAGTTGTGATTTCATTGCCAGTTTTAAACAGCATGATGTTTATTTCTTATCATTGTGTTACCTGTCTGCTGGTAAATCTTTTTCTTCATTTGATTCATGTATGGCTAAATCGTTATAACTTAGATTCAGTGAACAGTTCTTGACTTGTGATGCTTGGTTTGTGCAGATAATGCTGGTGTCATTGTTAATCCTAAGGGTGAAATGAAAGGTATATATTGTTCATTTCTCTTTCATTTGACCTCATTGATGCATTTGGTGGTATTGATTTGGTTCCCGCACGTGTTGATGTAGGTTCGGCTATCACTGGTCCAATTGGAAAAGAGTGTGCTGATCTGTGGCCCAGGATTGCAAGTGCAGCCAACGCTATAGTTTGAGTGCGATTTCTATTTAATTCATCTTTCTTTTCTTTTCTTTTTTTTATCTGCTTGTAGGACTTCAAATTTGACTCAGATTTTGTTAAAGCTTGAATTTGCACTGGAAGTGATAGACATTTTACATTTGCGAAACTTATCTGGAAGAAGTTTTTTGAAGAGATGAGATTTATTGGTAGTTTAGAATTGTTGTTTCTTATCTCTCTCTAAATTGTTATGCAATCCTGCTTTATCAGTTTGTATAACTTCTTGTTTGAGAACCAACATATATCCATGTTTTTCATAAGCATTAAAGATAGCGAGTCAACTTACCTCGATAACCCTGGTGTGTTTGTAATTTTCTATAAACAAATATAACAATTCATTCATAGTTGCTGGTACCCCTACCACCCTAAACTTGTTCACCTCTCACACTTCTTACTGCCGTTAGCGTCACCGCTAAGATTATATTCTCTTTCCTACCCACCCCCGTCAATGATAAGTGCTATCATCTAGATTTATATTTGGAATGACATCAAATTTGCTCGTGAATCAATTTCAACTGCACAGGTTATAGTTTTCACGTAGTCTTCTGTTCCTTTTTCATCAACATATTCTGTCTGACACTGTCGATGTTAAGGGCATCTGTGCATGTTTGGATTCACTCACTTTTTAGGGTTCTTAAAAATCACCAAATTATATTTTTATTGAGAGTTATTCTGAGGGTAAAGTGGCGTATAAATCATATTATATTCGTTTAATACCAACTTTTACTTAATTGAATGGTTTTATACTTTTTACGTCTCAGTAATTGGTGCACATTATGTAATGTAGAGTATGTTCAATATTGCGAGGTTAGGAACTGGTAGTCTTGAACGTAGGTATGACTAAGACAGGTAGTTTGCAGTAAAAAAGCCTTTAAGAAATTTGAAATCGGAATGATACTCGATTCAATTAATTAAATCGATTATGCAAAATGTGTTTGTAATAACTTAATATTAATAAATTAGGCTTAATTATGTATTTGGTTTCTATAAATATAGGTCTTTTTGTGATTAGTTTTTATAAATATTTTTGTGAGAAAGTGGTTTCACCTTTAATCACTCTTCCATTAAGTGCTGAGCTAGTTAATGGAGAGTTAGCTCAGCACTTGTGGTTATTTTAAGGTCAGTTACGTCAAATAAATTTTTAAATTTATTTTGTATAATTGCATACAGGTCTTTCTAATTTTTTTTCTTTCTTTTCCGCAGTCATTCTCTTTCCTTCTGAACTTTCGGTTGCTCAGTTTTCCTTTTTATTCCAGTGTAGTTAGTTAGGTCAACACTTTCAACCATTTAGTATAAGTTATGATGAACTTGAATGAAAATTGTGTTATGACAATTCATTTTAGGGGGAAAAGACAATTGACTGTTGCCTAAGGTGGCTTGGTCTAGCGAGAAGACGAATCATATGAGCACTAATAGTAAGAACTGATCCAGCTACCTAATGGGGAATAGCTTTAATTGTTGTATTAAAAACAAATGAAATTTTGGGGGAGATTGAGGGTTTCGTACAGGAGGAGAGGATAAGATATTATCCTAAAGAAGATTCCACAACTAAAAATTGAGAAAAAACAAGGAAGAAAATATCGTAAAGTTCCCTTTAAATTACTCACCAGCACAAAAAACAAAGGTCAAATTATTCTACAAAAGCAGTAATGGCGAGAAATTATAGTTGAAGATTCTGGCATTTCTTTCCAACCATAGTTACCAAAACAAAGCAAAGCATATACTACACACTGTCAAAGGATGTTGCCATCTTTACTCTCCACTATGCCATCTCTATCTCCGATGCTCTGCACTATGACCTCCGCCTTTGGGAGAGAGAGAGAGTGCGCGAATGAGGGTGTTGTACATGAAGGTCCCGACACCTTCATCCAAATGCTTAGCAATCCTACCTTCTTCCAGCTTCTCCTTCACCTTCGCCCTCAAAGGCGTCGCCAACTCTCGTCACTTGAGACCCGGGATTCAGTTGCATTCTCAAGCTCTGTGTCATGGCTTTGATACCCATATTTTTGTTGGGACAACTTTGATCAGCATGTATGCTGAATGTGGGTACTATGAGTCTGCACAATAGGTGTTTGATGAAATTTATGATCAAAATGTTGCGTGGAATGCTGTTGTTACCGCCGCTTTTAGGTGTGGTGACGTGGAAGGTGCGTGGGACGTGTTTAGACGGATGCCGGTTTGGAATTTGACCTCTTGGAATGTGATGCTTGCTGGTTATGCTAAAGCAGGTGAGCTTGGATTGGCAAGAAGAGGTTTTTTCTGACATGCCTCTCAGAGATGGTGTTTCTTGGAGCACTATGATTGTTGGGTTGAGGTACATGGACTATGCCGTCATCCATGTTTTTATAACTGTGAAAGGTGGAGGGAGAGAAAGAAAGAAAGTAAATTAGAAGGATCTGTATGTAATTATATAAAATAGGTTTAGAAGTTTATTTATAAATTTTAATTTAAAAAAATAATAATAAATAATAAATATCAGGTAAGCTGATTTTAAGATAGCACATGATATCATGTGGAATGCTGAATTAGCTCTTTGTTAACCATCTTTTCCTTAATTAGCTCAATGTTTAAGAGAAGGGTGATTAACGACATGAATTAATTTTAAAATTACAAATTTTAAAAGAACTATTTCATAACAAAAATATTTGTAAGAACTAATCATAAAAAATTTATATTTATAAGGATAAAAAATATAATTAAACCAATAAATTATGTAGCTTTTCTCATTGGTGAAAATTAGATATAATTCTTTGATAGACACGTTAATAAATAAAATTTAGTTGTTAATGTATGAAGCGCGTTTTATTTTCTCCTTTGTTATTGATTTTAGTGTGATTATAGTTTCAATCCAATTATTACGTTACTGGTACATTTGTTGAGTCACAGGTTGTGTAATGATTGCTGAAGTATTTAAGTCTGAGGTTCATTTCTCTAGAAATGTTTATTGTTTGGTACTCTTATTTTAAAAGGGGCATGATCTTCTTATGCTGGTGATTGGGAAAAAAATGATACTTTAGATTTCGTAAATAAAGTGAGGAAAGATACGTTGAAGTGGTAATAAACACATCCACTCCTCTGGTACGAGATTTTTACTATAGCCGACTTGTAGGGCTCAACTTGTCCTCGAGCTGGTCATGCCCATTCAAGTGGAGAATTTGATTGCCGTCGGCGAACTGTTTATCTTTTAGTGCAAGTATTTTTTATTAAATAACAAAGCAAGTTTAAAAATACCTTTAAAAGTGTAATTTTTTGGGGTAAAAATTGCATATTCCGAACAAGAAAACATCTTTAATATAAAAAAGCTTCATAAGTTTGACCATGCGTACAGGGTTATTGTTCCACCTTTCTGTCCTTAGTGATCAACTTTCCCTAATTTCCTCATATAACAAGTTGGCAAGATGGATTTGATTGAAGAAATGTTACGTTTTAATTATTATCCGTAACTCATTGGAAGAAGCTATTGGTAAGGTTTGCAATTCCATTTCACATCAACATCTTTGGTTAGTTTTACTTCAACGAGAGGCAATATAAGAAATACAAAATTGTTTAGTTTGTGGCCCTCTCATCATTGTCATATGGCCAACTGCCAAATCTGATTGCATTGCTCAACCATTATTTCTAACAAACTTGGTTTATCTTTGTACCTATCAGTCTGTTATAACCGCCATAATAACTACTTCTTTTTCTAAAACGATAGCTACAAATATCTATTGCTACTCTCTTGTCATTCCTATTTAATACAACTGTATTTATTGAGATTCAAATTCAAAATCACATATTAAACTTGAAATAACCCTTTATCAGTTGATTGATGATACTCTTAAGAATGGCAAATAGCCACACTAAAAAAAAGTAGGCAATGTAAGAATAAAACATACTAGTGAAATTTTATGGTTCTTGAATATGGATGGATATGTAAGTACCCTATAAATTTTTTCTCATAGCTTTTCCTTGGTTGAAGGCAGCAAGTTTGAAAACTAGAAAGTGGAGTAACCTCATCATATATGTATGCCTGTGACTAACATACTAGTTTGATTTTCCTTTTGATTACGTATTGAATGTGGCGCTCTGACTAATTATCCACACGAATATTACATATCTGCTTTCAAACTTTCACTTTAAATAAAGATTTGAACTCTAAAAGTTAAAGTAGCATTTTATTTCTGAATATATATTAATCAATGAATGTGGATAATGGGGTTATCTTATTTCAAGTTGTGCTTTGGCAAGACACATGTAACATCTTTTATGGTAGATTATTTGCAATATTTTCTTGTACCTTTTGATGCGTGTCAGCATGTCAGCATGATATGATCTGTCCCTCAAATGTGACATGGAATACATTCGGGACTTTAATTTATATCAAGTGTAGTCACACCTTTTGAAGAAAAAGTTAGTGAATTCTAATCTGGTTACGTAGGATTTGCGTGTGTACCTTTATGTCTGAGAACCGACCTCATTTTAGTACTCCATCGTTGAAGCATCCTAGGAAAGTTTGCTAAATCCTAGTGTAAAACACAAGTAAATCACAATGATATACACAAACAACTCTATGCAATATTGTCTTCGAAAAAGTGCTTAGACACACCGCATTTATGTTACATCACTAATAGGACAGCTTTTAATCCTTTCAGCATGATGGGGCCACTATCACTGTGGAAAGGTAGCAAAGTAACGTTTGATGAACTATTCATGATAATGTTTTCCATCTACCACAACTCCGCAAGTGGCATTAAATATTCGATGCCTTATTGCATTGTGAACACTTATAAAATCACCTATGGTGTTACATTTGTTGTAGCAATACAAGTTCTCACTTGACATAATACACATCTAAAGTGAAGCAAGTTGTAGTGAAGAATGAAAATCTCAAGATTGTATAGCCTTCAAAGAAATCAGTTGATGAAGTTTCACAGGAAAGCAAGAGTTACTTCTTCAGTCACACTTGGTAATGTCCATAGAAAGACACCACTTGGGGGTTTCCCTTCATCATGCATCTTCAGGCAAGTATATTGTAAGTTGAAGAATCAGTTGAAGCAAGCTTTGAGTTGGCAAAGGAGCACTCCACAGTACAGCTATGATTTTCGCAGCTATTGTTTGAACTTTGATGATGGTCCTTCAAATGAACATATCCCATCTCGTGTTTTTTGATGATCTTTTTTATTTTAACTTTTCTTTTTGTTTTTTGAATTATGAATAATTGATCTACACGGTTTGTTGTTATTGTATAGCCATATGATAAAAACCTCTACAATTTCTCAATTGTAAATTGATTTTTATATATTTGTCATGCAAACATTTTTCACTAGCCAAGTTGAAGGTTGGAACTATTGTGTCATCTGACTTTCAACCTCATTGTGAAAGCTGTGTATCCATTGTGAATTCTTAATGGCAACTACCTCTTATTTTTATGAACTGATTCTCTTGTCCTACATTGCATAGGCTTTGTTTGTCACAATCCTTTAGTAATTTCACCTTCATATATACTTTTTAGGCTTCTATATGGAAATTAGTAATGCAAAGAAAAAATTATCCAAGATTAATATCTCATTTCTTTGTCAACTAAATAATGGCTAAAAAAAAAAAAACAAGGAAACGGGTTCCCCAGTGGAATGTATTCTCTTGCTTTGTTCCTTCTTTGGGTTCATCACTGTCAATTCTACCAATCCTTTTGTCAAGCAGTGGGATTTGAGTTTCAATTGACCATTGTTATAATCTGTGTATGTGATTGGGAATCCATAGGTTAAAGGATGATCCGTTTGACATTTGATGGCATAATAATATGATATGACCTTAACATCGTTTTCAAACAGAATATGGATTTATAGATTGTCATTAAAGAAATTCAATAATCTGTTAAAATATTAATATTGAAGGATCAAATAATCAAACTTATGGTGATGCACAAATAATTACTTAAACAGATCCTATTTGCAACTCTCTCTTACTCTCATTTTTTGGGGGGGTTTCAATTTCAATATTTAAAAGCAACTCCAACCTTTCTCTACCATGAAACTTATAACTGATTAAATGCAGAGAACAAAAGAAAAAAAAAGGATATAAGATAAAAGTTAAAATTTAGTTATGAGAAAATAAAGTTTTTCGTGGCTTTCTTTTGTGCTTTTATCAAAATCACGCTTACACAATTATTTTTTTGCCATCATTTTCTGGACTAAGGAGAATTAGGAAGGAGCCACAATCTGTGGCACTGATCAAGGTTAATCCTTAGGAGCCCACAATCAAGTTTCTTTACAGCTAAATGGAGAAAGGAAATCTCTTTTCTGACCTAAAATGATTAACAAGATTATTGTAGTTGGTGTAAGGTAAAGAATTTCATGCATCGATTCATTTCCAGCTGAACTTAGCCTATCTTCTTCAATGAAAGTGATGAAACTAGTAATAATAATAACTTGTACTATTTATTTATAAATAACTTTCAAAATTTAATTTTCAAATGAAATTTACTAAACAATTCAAAGTTGAACTTAACAAAGTATATAATGTCACATGAACGTGAAAAAAATTATATTAAATGACATAATCTGAGTGAAGTGGTGGAGGTTAGGCTCTATTTGAGTGAGAGAGAGAGTGGGTACTGCACTTTGAAAAGCTGTGCAAAAGATGCTTTGAATCTGTTGTCTACACTTTTCATTCAAATAAAGTGTGGTTATGGGTAAGCACACAATTTTAGAGTGTAAATTTGGTTTTCAGAATTGGTAAGTTGGAAATTAGCAAGAAAAATTTATGTTAAAATGAAGAACTAAATTAATGGGGTGAGTTCTGAAATCAGTCAACGGGAAACTTCACAAGAAAGAAAAAAGAATATGGAAAAGAAATAAAAATGTATCATGAAATTTCAACCAGCATAATCTTGTTGCATGTTTCGTAATTCTGTCAGCTAAATTATTTCAAAAGGACAAGAGTTTGAATAAAACTTCACAATTACGCCATATCTCGCCTGTAATACAACAATAATAACACAGATTTTATAACTTTGACTACATAAATCATATGATTTCATTAAACTCAATAAAAATTTATTTAAAAATATTATTTATTATACGATTTTTTTTATTTGGAGATAATTCAAGTTAATAATATAAATTTTATTATTTATGGAAATTTATTAAAAATTATGAATCATAAATTAAAATTTAAAGATAAATAGTGAGACTAGATATTTTTGTGATTAAAAAAAGTAGTTAATAAAAAAGAATGTCTTTGAAAATTTTTGTGAACAATCTTTCACAAATTAAAAATAAATAAATGGGTGCGTTTGAAAATGGACAAATTTGAATTTCAGTGATTAGTTTGGAATATTTTGGATGAACCTAGGAGAGTTCAAGAACTCACTAATTTTGGTTTGACATTTCATTAATGAAGTTTATTACAAGAATCATCTTGGTCCCCTTCACTCTATCTTTCCTTGGTCCACACTATGAAGAATATATGTACCGTGTTTGGCTAATGAATGTGCTGTTTGCCTTTTTATCCTTTTCACATTATTGAGTCCACTTGTGCGACACATGAATATGGCTAAATATTTGGGCTATTTTTATGACATATTTCATAGGCAAGGTGGCTGTAACTTGAAGCCAATTTTGATGGAAAACTAGTTATAATTATGTCATTCGTGATTATGATCCAATGACCAAAAAGAATGCCCCCCACTTAATTTGTGTTTCAATGTGTATGCAAGTCTAATCTATTATGTCATTAACTGATGCATGAAATTTAATCTACCTTTTCATTGACATGATCATTCAATGGTAGCTTTCTTTTTATTTCCATTTCAAAGTTGTATCTGTAATTTTCACTCCAGTGCTTCCAATTGTAAAGAGAACATTAGGGGTGTTTGTATTACACCTGAAATGGAATTTTAGAAAATTGAAAAATTTTACCTTCTCACTAGACAGAATCTTGAAATCTGTGTAATAAAAGAGCCATGGAAGTTGCAAATATTTTTACAAACAGGTACTTAACTATACATAGCTAAGATTTCAAATGAAACATTAACTTGTTTTAAAATAAACTGACATACCATTAACTGAAAATACATAATGTATTGGAAACTAAACAACAAACTAATAAACTTTAAATAAAAACAAAAATACAAAAAGCCTACTTTTATCCATCACCCTAATATCTTTTCTTATCTTTCTTAGTTGTCTTCCATTCCAAATGTTCAAACTCGATCGACCCTCTTTCTCACCTCAAAATAAGCCCAAAAGCACTAGTGTATCTTAAAGGAACAATAATGGATATTGTTTCTATATTTCACTGACTTAGTATCCAATAGAGTATCTTAAAGGAACAAAAACACTTGTGTAATGTGTTAAACTATATCGAAGTAGAATATGGTAATAAGTACTTAAGTCAAACTATGATAGGGTGTAATATCCTATAACAATTGGACGGTTGACTAATTTTAATCCTTATTCTAAAGTATTTTTACTTGCACTTGTTCAAACTAAGCACTTACAATAGGTGCAACTGTGTCACTGACATTCTCTCATCCACCATGAACCTATTTTAAGTTTTAAATTAAGTTCCTATTACATATAAAGATGCTTTTACCTTCAATGAGTGAGCTAAAGTTAAAACCCTTTTAGGTGGTTAACCTTTCATCCATTTACAAGGTTTATATTGTTGGAACATGCATTGTAGTACTTTCTGTGCCAATCCTACTCTTTCATGAATGTTAAACCCATATAATAATAATAATGATGATGATGAATATATTTTACTCTATGAATAATGAATGAATATTTTGTTAACAAATTATAATAAATAAAAGTATAAAGAATTTAATAATTAATATTTACGAATGCATTAATTTATAATATCCTGTAAAATTAGTTATAATTAAGCATATATTTTAAAAAAACTGTTCTATAATTAAATAATTTTTCTTGTTCTCTGAATTTTGAAACAAAATTATTCTAGAGGTTGAAAGTAGTTTAACAATAGAAAAGTATGGATATTTATACATTTTGTTTTTGTCCCCAGGAATAAAAAATATAAAAGAAAATGTTTTTTAACATAGAATTGTGACACCAATAGATATTTTCATAGTGCACCCATCACAAACCTCACTAGCGGTATATTACACAGAAATTCTTCTACCATCACAAAATATGCCACTTAAAAAGTTACATATCTTAATTTTTCTTTTATATGCCATTGCATATCTTACATTTTAAAATTTCACTAAAAGCAATAACTGTGACATGTATCTAATTTAAACTTTATATTCCGATTTTCTACATTTTTATACAATATTTTATTTTATATTTATTTTTTAAGAAATTAAGTTATCAAATAGTAACTATCATTACTAAATAATAATTAGATGGTCAATTGATGTATTAGTATACACTAAAAGGGAAAATAAATTTTAAGTTGTTTTTTTAATAGAAAAAAATACATAGTAATAAGTGAATATTCTCTTAAAAGAAATCAAAATTCGAATTCTCGAGACGCTGCGTATAAATTTGGAAAAGATTATTTTCACAGAATTTTTGAAAAGCATGACAATATATATATATATAAATGGAAATTGCATGCAGTCGAGATTGTTGGGCACGCGAGTGGATGGCGCGTGGATGAGGCTGAGCGTAGTAGCACAGCAATAGCACAGTGAGAAGAAGGCAAAACGCACTCGTTTCGTTGATCACCGTTCACCTGCCGGTGACGGAGTTCAAAAACACCCGCTCTTCTCTCTCTCTCTCTCTCTCTCTGTGACCAGAATCTGTTCCATTCATCTGCTTCGGTTTCGATTCCATTTCTCTGGGGTAAGAATTTGATACACCGTTTTACTAGTCACGAGTGGAATTTCGGGGTATCTGATTTTTTGTTTCGCTTCATTTTCACGTTTTTCTTTGCGTTACTTCACTTCTCATCGCATCGTGTTGCTATTGCCTCGCTTCTCTTCCCTCCGTTGCTATGCTGGTTGTTGCTACCAACTCTGTTTCTCTTCCTGATTCCTTTTATTTAATTATTTTTGTTTTTATATATACTTTTTGGTTAGTTCAATCGTTTTTTATTCTTGCAACATCGTTTGTGATATTATATCAGTTTGCATATCTATTCGTGTGACTGTGAATTGCTTGCGTCTTTTCTTCATGTAATGTTTGTTGAGAGTAAGTGTTTGATCGTTGGTTTTTGCGTTCCTTTTTGATGGATTGGATTGGGAGATTAACTCTTGGTCTTCTTAACTGAAAAATGTTTTTCTCTGAACTTCATGGAAACAATAGGGAAAGAAACTGAAAACGGGCTGGGTAAAAACACTCATACTCCTTGTATTATATTTCATTTCAGTTTTAAGTATAAATAGGTGAATTGATGAGTGTTAGTCGAGAAGATGTTAACTTATGATAAACTTGTCTCACGGTCACGTGTGTTTTGCAAAAATGAAAGAGCTTGAGAATTTTACTCTCTATTTGAGGTTTATTGTCTATAGTTGGACTGTAAGAGGTCACTTGTAGAGTAGGTATTGTGTGATTTGAGAAAATGGTAAGAATGCTGTGGCACATTTCACAAATTTTATAATGATAAAAAGAGGTGGTTCCCTTTTGTGAATTGCACAAGGTCGATAGGTTTATCTTCTGTGATTTTTGCTCCTGGAACCTCTCTTCACACTGTCATTTTCATTTTGATAACAAAACAACATAAGACGAGGCAGAAGATAACTTATCAGTTTCATTTATTACTGCAAATGAAATAGACAATACAATAACTTATCAATCAAATAATAATGGTTTTGAATAGGGAAGAGAGAAAGATAGAGAGAGAGGGAGAGAGAGACACACACAGAGAGAGGAAGCAGTTGTGATTTCATTTTGGACCTAAATTACTAGGAATTATGAATTGTTATCAGACATTGAATATCTAACTTCGTGAAACTTTGAGGCTTGAGATCAACAGCTACGATTGTTTACATTTAGTATTTTCTGTTTTTACTTGTTTTCAGGATTGGGCATGCTCTTTATCTAGTTTGTCTGTGATGATGAGGTTTTATAATCTTCAGAAGTTCTTACAAGTGAGTTGCTTTCCTTTGAGTAACTTTTTATATTACAGACTAAAGAGTATTGTTTCCTTTCACAGGTCTAAAGATTGATGACAAATAGTCTGGTTTGGGTATCAATAACAAACAGCAAGTTCTGTAGTATTTTACTGGTGAGCATCACCAACAGGAACAATACTGGGTTTATGATTTATAAATTGACTGAAAACTGATACTTTATCTTTTTAATCCACAATGAAGGGAAATAATGGAAGCACATCCTACTTTCTCCTTTGAAAGATCAAAACAACTCAATAACATAGGGGTGTCTGGAGCACTTTCTTCATCCTTGTCAGTCCTTCCAATACCCCCAGAAGGGATGTATCCCAAGCCTGATTCACAGCTGGATTCTGTAGAACATGAGCTTATGACAAGACCTTTTACTCATTCAAGTTATTTAAATTCCGGTGGAGTTGTTGGGCATATTTTTTCATCTTCCCCTGGATATTCAACCGATCTTCATCACTCATCCCTTTCCCCTCATGAAAAACACTCTACTAATGCTCACTTTGTTTCACAATCAATGAATAACGTGGGCCAATTTCCATTATCATATTCTTCAAATAACGAACCACCAACTTCTGCAACATGTAGCCATTATTCCCAAGAAAATAATGCTTCCTGGCATACAGATTCCCTGACAAGCTTTCTGGATTTTCCTGCAAATAACTCTATTGATAATGGTCGGGTAGAAAACAGTGCCTGCACTATCATGGCATCTGAGGAGTACCGTAAGCAAAATGATTGGAAGGACTTGGCTGAGCAGCTACTTAGTGATGATGATACTTTGACTTCTAATTGGAATGACCTACTTGCTGACAACATTCAAGATCTTGAGCCAAAGGTGAAGTTTTTCATAACTCAAATCAATATTAGCTTCAGAGGAAAGTGATTAGTAATTTATTCAGGGAGTGTGTTAGAATCTCATTTTGTTGCTTTAGGTGCCATTCCAGGTTTCAAAACCATTTTCAGAGTTTCCAGAACATCAATCCCAAGGCCATCAGGAACTTCCTGCTTCATATGGAGAAAATTGCATTAGTGTTGCCCCCTCTTCCTCAGCAAATTCTGCTCCGGCCAAGTCACGAATGCGTTGGACACCAGAACTTCATGAGACCTTTGTCGAGGCTGTCAACCAACTTGGCGGGAGTGAAAGTACATTTATCTCTCTTACTCTGTTTGTTAATTCTTAGTCTAGGTTTGTTAAACTTTGGTTCATTTTATTTCTGTTTTTCTTCTTTCTGCAGGAGCTACTCCTAAGGGTGTGCTGAAGCTCATGAAAGTTGAAGGATTAACTATATATCATGTTAAAAGCCATTTGCAGGTATGTGCACATTGCTTTTAACTTCCCTGGTTTGTTTGATATCATGAGTTTTTACTGAAACAAGTTTGACTTGAAATGCAGAAATACAGGACAGCTAGATATAGACCAGAGTCATCTGAAGGTACATAAGATATGTATTGTATTATATGTAGTATGTACCATGCATATTTTGCATAGGAGTTAGTTTCCTTTAACATTGGTAAAAAATAAAACCAATCTTTCACCACTAAATAAAATTAATAGGATGAACTTCCTGCAAAATTTACTGTAGGATTAAAAGCTCATAACATCTAGATTATTCTTCATTGGAAACTTGTTTTTCTGTAAAATGCTCTTCAAAAAAATAAAATGTTTACTAATTGATTAAATACCTTATATCTTTAACACATTTCAAACCATTTGTGCATTCAATTGTTAGATCAATTCATCATCACCTTGAATGACAAGCTATTGAATGATGTGTGTGTATAATCTCTAAAACTGGTATTAATGAGTCTTAACCCATTGCACACAAGATTTTGATTAAGACACAAGTGCGCACAGATTCTCTTACTATACTATTGAGCATAAATTAGTTTTGAAGCTGTAACATTTTATACAACTGACAAACTGTTGCAAATATACAAATATACAGATAAAATTAACTTCAGTAAAGAGCAGTAAGGGGATGCAGCATTTTTCACTAATCTAAGCCTCTTGGTTCTTTTGTCTCTCTATCTCTATCTCTCCATGGATTTCCCTTTTTATTGAGAAACCCCTGTGCTTGCTCAAGAAACTAAAAATTTACCTTCTAATTTCCTAAAAATTGACCTAGACCAATGTGATTGATGTTTGGACATGGTGTATCTTGGGTCACTTTCTTGAAACCTAGAACCATACTTCTATGTGTTATAAGCTAATCCACAATTTGTTGACAACTGTTGGCAGCAGTTATGGATAAAAAATCAAGTTCCATTGAAGAGACGTCATCTCTAGATTTGAAAACGTAAGTAAACTATTTACTTCTATTTTAAAGAATTCAGTTATGTAGTATTACCATAAATGTTAATACATTAGATTGTTAGACATCACTCCATTCTTTGATGTGACTTTGCTGTACAAATGTCACATTCTCAAAAGAATTTAAATTGATTATGATTTATGGAAAGTTTAGCAAAGTGAGGGAGACCTAGAAGAACTTTAGAGGAAATTATTAAAAGAGATTTAACGATAAATAATATTTTAAAGAATTTGATTTTTAACCAAGTTCAATGATGTTGTGTGATTCATGTAGTCTCACTTAGTGGAATAAGACTTGGTTGTAGTTGTCTTTGTTGTACGATCTATGGAAAGTAGGATATATGGAATTTATCCCTCTTAATTTTATTTCTTCTGATGGCAGTTATTGTTTCATATCTCAACATTTAACCCCGATAAGATTAAAGATAAACTGTTAATTAGGGGAAGGTTAGAAAATTAATATTAGGATTAAAACGAAAGAGAAAGAGGCTTTGTTACTAGACCATCATACACAGGCTGCTGTGATGACCAAAGGAGATTAGAATAAGGATCAGGAAGTGAGTTGTTTAGAATTTTCAGTGGTTCAGGATTAAGACCACGATTGGGCCTATATATGGTTCCACGTGAAGTTTTTTGTAATATTTCATACACAGTAATTGTTATGCTAACTTTACTGTTGCATTACTGACAGTGGTATTGAGATTACTGAAGCTCTACGACTACAAATGGAGGTTCAGAAGCGGTTGCATGAACAGCTTGAGGTTTGAACTCTGTTCCTCCAGAATTTCTCTCTTGCATGTTAAATGAATTGTATTAAAAGAGTGACTCAAAGGATTGTTCAACTTGCAATCGCTGTTTCTGTTGCAATCAGTACTGGTCATTGAATTGGTGAAAGCACAGCTTACTTAGTTTGGTTCTGATTGAAAGAAAATTTAAAATTTACAAAAGAAAAATTATATGAAATATTACAACAATAACAACAATAATAATAATAACAACTATTGTATTACCAAATGCTTTGAAGTGCCTCGTTGGACAATGAGTGTAACATTCTAATATTCAACATATATAAAAGTTAAGAGGAGGAAGTCCACAGATAATAGAAATTAGAGCATCCAAGCATACAACATACATAAAAGCTAAGAAGGAGGAAGCCATTTCATGCCTTGCATATGTGGCAATTTGTACCGTGTAGCATTGAGCCTTCATTTGGCTCAAATGTTTTGGGTTGAGTTGATTATTTTTTAAAACAGAAGTTTCAAACTGGTTATCTGTTTTCTATCCGTTTGGCTGTTCTGGGCATTCTATTTTCTGAGTTGATTGGACCAAATACCAGATCAATTCACTGGTTCTGATCAAACTGGCTCTTTTGGTTTTTTCAACCATACAATTGCCATGATTATAGAAACCATACTGTCTTTATCAGCTTGGTGAAAGAAATTGAAGGGATGTAACTCTTCTCTATGGAAAGAAACTACTATTCATCTCATTCTCTGTATTCTGATTACTATTTTATTAATAGTATTTTTTAATAGCTTATCAGCTTCATATGCTTTAAAAAACTGAGAAATCCTGTTCTTTATGGATCAGAAATTAGACACTGACGATATACCATGGGAATTCATATACAATATACCTTGATTTGTTGAAGATACAAATTTTAGTTCAAGGGTTTTATGACCTTCTGTTGAATATTGTGTTCTTTATGCTGTTTTCGTCTTAAGAGAATCAAAATTATATGGTTACCATTTTTATTATGTACAATATTGGTTCTTAATCTTATTTTTGGCTACGTTGGTTAGGACATTTGTATCTTTTATTGAGTATGGAACTATCTGTAATATTTCGATTGGCAAAATAAATTATGCCTATAGAATTTAGAGGTAAGATGCTTCTGTCATTAAATGCATTAATAGTTAGGGATTTAGATTTCCAACTGCAAAAAGTGAATTTCCTGAGGCATCCCACTGTTTCTCTTATGGCGGTCATATATCTTTTATAGTTCTAATGCAGTTCTTCTTTTCCCCTTCTTTTTTCTGTGATAGATTCAAAGAAATCTCCAGTTGCGAATAGAAGAACAAGGAAGGTACCTTCAAATGATGTTTGAAAAGCAATGTAAACCTGGAACTGAAACGTTCAAGGCACTGTCATCTACCATTGAGAGTCCATCTGGAATGTCTTCAAATGCTACTAGAGATTTCCCTGCCAATAATGAAATGGAAGCATCACTAGCAGACCCATGCAAGTCAGGACCTGATCAAGTTATCAGCAGTGCTACAGTCAAGGAAGGATCACCAGAAAAGGGTGGGACGCCGGATTCTCCCCAAACTCAACATGCTATTGCTAATGAAGATAGTGCTCAAGCCCCAAAGCGTCAAAGAACGGAGAAAGCCATATGATCTGCAGAATCAGTGTCAACAGTGAACTTACAAGACAATACTGATTCATGAAAGATTTCATTTTAGCAAGAATGACTAAGCTGAATGATGGTCAAGGTCCGTAACTTATGAGTTCCTCCTGTCCTATTGTGGTCAATGAGTGTTTGCATGTGTACCATGTACATTAAGCAAAAGATGACGAGTCAATTGCTTGAAAAGCTTTGGTCAAATTTTTGCCGTTAGATATCCTCCTTGGTAGATAGTTTGTAAATACCACTGTAGGCCCTTACTAAAGCTTGCGGCATACTCTATCCTTGGAATGTGTTATCCTTCCTGTGTCATAAACTTAACCGTATAGCCCAGAAAAAGGAAAAACAGATGACGAGTCAAGTCAACGAGCTTGTAGCTCAACTTGATGATGTCGGAGGTTCAATTGGTCACTTATCCGTTTCTGTATTTGCTTTCATCTCTAATGTAAAACTAGAAACTAAAAATCATGAGTCCATAGTTTTGATCATGGAGTTTTACAACACCTTTATCTGGTTTCCTAGTCGTGAGAGAATGAGATTCTAGTGTTCAGATAATGACATTACATCATAGGCAAGGGACGTAATTTAGATCCTCTATTATGTTCCTTTTCTTCTAATTGTACTAAAAAAAGGATATACTTCTAGTTATACCAATTATAGTATATGTTTCGTTTCCAATTCCACATGACGGTGTTTGGTCCACTTCTCTTCCAGCCATAAGATCCCCTATAAGGCATTAACCACAGTAGGCACAAGGCAATATTGTTAAAAAAAGAGTAAATTGGCCATTTTATTATGTCTCATACTAAAGAAGACTAATGTCGTTATGTTGAAGGGAGTCGGGGAGATAAGGAAGCTCAGGTGCATTATTGAATCAATGACGATAAAGTGTATTATTATACGTTAACCTCACAGGAGTTAGTATAATTATCCTTATTATATATGTATGCTAGAACAACACCTTGTCCGTTGTACGGAAAATCAAATAAAAAGTAACAGTTGTTTCAATGATAATAATTTGTTGGATATGTTGTATAATTGACCTTGCATTAGCAAATCACAAAAACTGTTAGAGAGAGAAAATAATAATAGTCTAAGACGCGTTGAACGCTATCTTTAAAAATACTATTAAATTTATTTTCTGCTAGTTCTGATTCAGAGCCTCTCATTTGAAGGGTATATTAAATCATATTGTCTTTGTATATTGTAAATAGATTCTCAAGGACAACGTTAAACGCTTATCATAGAAATATTTTGCATATTGTGAATAGAGTTTCAAGGACAGGGTCCAACGCTTCACATTACTTTTACTGCAAAGTCAGTTTTACCACAGGATTAAATTTAATATTGACTAAATTATAGGTAGAGAATGGGTGTGTGAGAAGGGAAGAAGATAAAAGGCATATACCACATGTTAGGTTAGATGTATTTATAGCACAAAAAAAAAATAAAAAAAATTTAAATTTAAATTAGAGATATGATGAGATATGGTTATAAAAAAATAATCATATTTAAATTTAAAATTTTTACCTATCACTCATTTTTTCAAAAGCGTTTGTTATGATACTCATAAATTTTAAAAAAATATTCTATATCTTCTTTAAATTTATGGTTGCGCTTTTTCAAAATTAAAGGACATTTATATTTTTTCTAAATATATCACTAATCTTCACTATCTATTTATGTATTTAATATAAAATTAATAGTGTTAATTATTTCATACGTAAGAGGATATGTAATATCCTTTTAATTTATAAGACATGTAAAAAATGTCTTTTTCAAAACTCTTGCTCACAATCTTTTTTAAAAAGACTTGTATTAAAATAATAATTTAGAGTATGTTAAACTATGGCAGAACAATAATAATATGGAGTTGCAGAAAAATGATTTTCTACCAGGGATGATCTTCACTTTTAAAATGATTAATTTTTAATTTTAAAAAAAAATACACAATAAATAGTTATAATTGTCATTGGACTTGATATAGTAGAATTTCTACTGCAGCAATCCAAATTCACACTATTACAATAAATAGTTATGATTTTGAATTTAAATTCTAGTAAATACAATTTTATAAAATACTCAAAAGGAAAACTTCAATGTTTTATTCATTATATTCAACTCAAATAAAATTATGTTTTTTTAAAAAATACCTGTGGTCTAAGTCAAAAACTCATCCTACTACTTTTATTTTGGTTAGATAAACAATGAGTTTCAATGATTTTGATTCTAGTTTTAGAATTTTATAGTTACATTTATTTAAATTTTGAAGGTCAAAAAATAATACTTTAATAACAATAAATACATTTAAAAAAAATAAGAATTAATACTTCGATAAATAAATTTATAATATAATCTTTATTCTAAGGAAATTTAAACTTAAAAAAGTAAAAAAAATACAGTAATATCGATACCTTATCATAGAAATTAAAATATAATTAATGAAAGAAACACAAATTATATCTAAAAAATATAAAAACGAAAATCTAAATCGAGAAAATATAGAAACTAAACATCCAGGTTATAACCTATTAACCTTTCTCTAAATTTTGTTTTAATCAGTCCACTTAAAGCTTACAGCCTATAGATAATGAGATTTTCTTTTGTTCCTTTTTGAACTTTTGAAAACAAAAAGAAGCTTAATTGAAGTCCAAGATTTGTTTTTTACCTATCAAACAACAGCGTGCTATGTATATGGGGGTTGATTAAGGTGGCGGCAGTTCGCCACCATCCCCAAAAAAGTTCTTATCTGTAATTGGTTATTACTTGGACTTCATAAAAGTTAAAGTTGAAACTTATTCTAAAAAAATGGGTTTTAACTATGTTTAATCCACACATTACATATGGTCCAGTCAAACCATGACATGAGTAGGAATCTCATCACCAACCTTAAAGCAGACCAAGTCACCCCACCACTACATCAAATATCGATAGGTGGCTCGTCAATTCCTATGTATAAGTAGTGACTCAGAATATGTATTATACGGAAATGTTGTTTTCACAATGTTTTTCAGCCACCTTAGAAACATTCATGTATATTTATTTATTTATATTTGAAGTGATACGTAAAAAAGAAAAATAAACGTGTATAAATATATATAGGTATTAAAAGAATGATTCAAATAATAAAATCCTATTTTGTATTCATGTGATATATGGATCCATCAGAAACACCAAAAGCTAGAATGGCAGCATGATAAACAAATGCATTTTTCATTTACCTATACTAGTGTAGTTTTGTACATGAAGTTTTAATGTTCTTTAAGGTCCATATAGAAAAGATATATCATGTGAAAAAATAATTAAAATAGTTACAAAATTGTACAAACACTGAATGCAGATATTTTATTTGATTTCATTTGCACTTCTGCTAACATTGTGGATAATTATGCTTTCTTGATTGGCTAAATAAGTGAATTCGTCACATTTCGTATAAAAAAAATCGTACTAAATAGTTGTTCTCGTGGTAATATAGTGATTTCAGAAACAAATTTTTTTTAGCTTGATATGTGTAGACACACGTTTTGAATATTAATTCTAATGTGCCAAAGAAGGGGGGTGGGGGGGGAAATTAAGAATAGTGATAAATAATGAATATTCTGTTGTACATATGTAAATCAAAACCTCAGATAGTTCACCATCTGCCACAACTACTTGTGCTAGCTGATATACAAGAATCAACATATGTAAATCAAAACCTCAGATAGTTCACCATCTGCCACAACTACTTGTGCTAGCTGATCTACAAGAATCAATCAATCATAAATGTCGTGTAATTAAGTAACATAAATTATTATTAACAATGAGAGTTCCAGCTAGGTTTCAACAGTAGTAGCCAATTAAACTGCCCAAGTCTCATCATGTCGAGAACCACAGACACAGATTCTCATAATTATTCATAAGGGCTTCGTATTGTACCATGAAAAGGTGGGGACGTGACGCAGCAACCTGCATTTGCATGAGCATTTTGTTTTATCCATTAAAAATTAAGAAAATAAACACACCTTTGAGGCCAAGCAATCGAGAAAATCGAAACAACAGTGTATCTTATAGCTTATATTCAAACACTTGATATTTTATTCTCAACTCACCAATCCATCTCTTACATCTTAGACTCAAACCACACGTACGACTTCTCAACTCACTGTTTGATATGTACTTTTCTCCAAATTCAAACACTTATAGTTGATATCTTACTGTCAACTCACCACCCAATTAGGCATTTGCTACTTCTTCTATATATAAATACCATATATATTCTTCTTCTCTCTTCTAAACTTTGGCTAATTTTAATTCTACAACACTTTCATTTTGTTGGATTCATATTTATACACCAGTTGGTGGCTTAATCACTGGATCTGACTCCCGAAATGAATCCCATTTCTCGCAAGATTCTGATGGTTGATGAGGTATATTTTAAGACCCTTCTTATTTTGCTGGCAAATATTGCATGTTATGAATTGTTATATGCTATACTTCGATTTTTTAACTTTCTGTGACACAATATGATTGTTTTAATTTCCTGCTGGCTAGGTTCTCATCAACCACTCCCCTACACAAGAATTGGATCAAAGGAAGATGTTATGTGCATTCTTCTTGCCTTATGGACTCCATTTCGGGAGTGAGAACCAGTGATTAAGCCAGTGCGAAGCTCGATGCAAAAACCTACTATAAACGTACTTCGAAAATTAAAGGTAAGATTGGTTAACATGCATGTTTGGGGTTGGTTGTTTTTGGAAAATAATCGTTTTTTTTTTATCAGAAGATATATAAGAAAGTTAGGAAAAAAATGTTATTTTTTGAAAATAAACTAACCAAACATGTACTTAACTCTTACATTAGAAAAACCAGATTGGATAATTAGGTTAATGAACAAATTCATTAGAACAATTAACTTATACAGCAAGGATTTTCTTCATTGATGAAGAATTTCAGATTAAAAATGCGTGATGATAGATGATCAGTCCAGCATAGGATGATAATTTATTATCTATCATTTAATAGAAATTTACATTAATGCATGGAGTGAAATAAAATATTTTCTTCTCATTTTTCCACAAATAAGGTTTTCTTCATTAAATGGAACACGATTTTATTTAGAGATTAAGCAATGGCAATTGAAAGCTGCTTTTGTGATATTGCTCTCACACGAGACATAAGGCATTAATCATTTGTTTCTTTGTTGCTGCGAGAGAGAGAGAGAGAGAGAGAGAGAGCAAGAACAATGAAGAATTCAAAATTAAGATCAATGCATTGTTAAGCTATACGTGGCATGGAGGAACGTCACTGATCATCATCACCACCACCAGGATTGATTCAGGTTTGACAGTTTCCATTCTGATATTGATGTGCACTTCAAATAAATAGATTACTATTAATTCTTTCACATGCATTTTGGTTGTTACACCTAAGATATTCATAAAATTTTGTGCATAAAAGGGACATTAACAAAAAGTAAGAGGATAAAGAGAAATTAAAGAGGATGTGAAGGAGATGGAATGAATTGTTGGAGTAAAAATATTATAATTAACCCTTTCAATATTGCTAACAAAATAAAGAAATAAATGCACAGCATTTTTAACTAATTAATGCATCTATTATCTATTGACTTGGCTCCTCAACCTTCATTCTTAGAGAAATTAGGGGGAAACGGACCATGTAATGCCAATATTTTCCTCAACATTTTTCCAAAAAGATTTACTAAACGGAAGAGGTTTGTATCAATGGAAAGTATATTAATAATAATAACAACAATAACTTTAAATCAGATGTGTTACTAACTTATAAAAAGCTTAATTTCTATGAATTTTCTTAACTCATCAAAAGGCACATGTCTTCTCAAATTCATTTATCAGAATTTTATTAGTTTTTAAAGAATGATTTTCTAAAATTCTCAATGCTTAATTTAAAATAATATTTCTACTTTCTATTTCTTGCACGGTTTAACCAAAATTTATTTCTTTTACTAACTTTTACTTCTATAACAATAAAGAAGTTTCCTTATATGTT